TAAACTAGAACAGCTGGCGCAAACAGCTGACGACTTAGTTAGTGACGTCGGCAATGGTAATACACCAATATGGCGGCGATTTCCAAAAACGAGGCCGATAAGGAATCCTTAGTAGTGTGTATTATCCTTGGGTTGCTGCCAAGGTTCCTAAAGAAATAGATTGTTTGGTAATGCTAATGGGTTGAGTCATCTGTGGGCTGGAACTCTGTAACGAATAGAGATTTTTTCTCTATCTCTATTGACGTCTCCTCTCTATTGATTTCGACAAAAAAGAAGAAGACAGCAAGTGCCATAACGATAGGGATAACGATCCTTATCCGTTACAGAGTTCCAGCCCTGGGGTGCCCTATGGAGATTTCCTTTATGTTGAAGCACCCCCGATGACGTCATAGGAGGCACCTTACCTCTCTCAAACAACCTTGAGTCCTTTTCACGTAGCTCCAGTTTAAACTAACGGGGTTAAAAAATAGTTAGTAGCGGTATGTCAAGTGATGGCATCACTGAAAATGCCATTTGAAAAAAAATTGTTGGAAAAATGTTACTTGTTATCCTTGGTTCAAAAGAGGGTGCCTGCAAGAATGTTTGAAAGAAGTAGGTTACTAACTTTTATGACATCATCTGGGGTGTTTAATCATAATGCAGATCTCAAATGATGTCATCTGTTTCCTATTACCAGACTAGCTATCAACTTTAGGAACCTTGAATGACTGGGATTCGGTAACAAAAAGAGACGTTTTTTCGATCTTTATCTACAGAGTCCCAGCTCTGATAACTTTTATAACGTCATCTCTAATGCCTAAACATAATGCAAATCTCCATCTATAGAGTTCCAACTCTGATAACTTTTATGACGTCATCTGTAATGCCTAAACATAATGCAAATCTCCATTTCTTCCTGATGACGTCATCTGTTTACTATTACAAAACAACCTATAGGGCTATTTGACGTTTTCTTAATTTAATATGGCGCCGTGAAAATAACACAGCTGGACAAGTAAAATTCTCATTTCATGACGTCAGAAAACTGTCATCATGTACTGTACGGTACGCGATAATTAAGGAATTCAAACCATGTGACTTTTGCCAACCAGTCGGCTTGAAATTTTTATGAGGTTAAAATACGGGTTTTTACATGTCAACGATGTCAGAAAATTGTCAGATTTGAGAACTCTGTTGTCGTTGGATCGCGGGTGACGTCATTCTACTTGTCATGATCCCAACCCTGACAACCCTAAAGGCACGTTTACATTTAATTCCCATTCAAATTGCAATAAGTTGAAATTTGACTTAAAGACTAAAGGCACCTTGGCAGTCGTCAAGTTTGTTATGGCCACGTCGCCATCTTGAATTATCAGCTGATTCAAATTGCCTTATTGGTTGTTGTTAACTATTATGATGACGTCATTTGTAAGCCCAAATAAAAATCAAATCTCCATTACAAATTACAACTACCCAACTACTTTATGATCAAGGATAATACAAACTACTACTACTACTACTGGATAACCTTGTGAGGATAACACAAGGTTTGTGTAGAATTTGTTTTTTTATTGAAGATAAAATAGTCAAAATGATATTATGTTGGCAATACTGTAAAATTCTCATTGCTTTCTATTTTATTGCGTAAAAAAGCCATGTGTTGCCATATCATTTAATAAATAACAGATATTAGATCTAAAGGTACGGTTTGTTAGGATAGTACGCGACGCACAACTGACAACGTAAATGTCATCATTAGTTCAGGTATGACCGTACACCCGTCTTCTGACGTGAGAAAACGGGTATACGTCATACCTATGGTCATACCTGAACCAATGACGACGTTTACGTTGTCAGTTGTGCGACGCGTACTCTCCTAACAAACCGTAGCTTAAGCTGTTTTCTCGCGTTCACTTTTTTTAGACTGGTTCAAAACAGGTTTGAAACAGTATATTCTTGCGATGAAACCATGACGTCACATCAAAATTGGTTCAAACCATTTCGAAATACAATCCCATCCTACAATCCAATCCACTTTTTCAAACCTCTTTCTCGCGCTGAGAATTTATAATGTCATGTGACACTATTTTAAACCAGTTTTGAAAAACGTTTGAAAACATTTGAGAAGCTAGAAAACATCTCAAATGTCCATTAGATCTTCTTGAAGACGTCATCTATTCACCATTCCCAAACAATTTATAGAAGTTCTCTCAATTCAATATGGCGCCGTAGAAATAACACACCTGACCACTATAAAGGCCAGTTTACTTTGACGTGCCCACATCGCCATCTTGAATTAACAGCTGATTCGAATTGCCTAATTAGTTGTTGTCATTTGATGACGTCATTTGTGTGCCCAAACAATAAGCAAATCTCCATTACATCCACCTTATGACCAAGGATAATACACACTACTACTATAGGGAGGCTTGTGTAGAGATCTCAAGCCCCCCACCACTTCTAAGAACCAAGGATGACGTAAGCAGCGTGTCATTTATTGCCTTGATTCAGGGTGTTGCACTACAGGTTATGACTCCGCGGGCTTTTGCTTTATGCATACTTGGTTTTAGTACATTAATTAACATTTTAAAACGATCCTCGTTTCCATATTCCTCTTTACCTATTATACAGCTTACGACACCCTTGATGACGTCGGCAACGGTGCAACACCATAAGACTTTGAATCGACGCCGGTGGAGCATGGTACAGGGTGATTCCTTATATTTTGACCCCTACCTACAGCTTTAGCTATACGAGGTGGAAAAAAACTTTAAATATGAAAGATGTAGGATTTTATGTCTATTATCTTTTGCGAATGTCAAAATGGACAAATGACAGATGCCAACTGTCACAACAACAAACAGTTCCATTTCTCAAATGAAACACTCTGTATATTTTCGGCTAAAATGATCCAAATATATCATATGTTGATATTTGGTTCAGCTGTTTATACGCTATTCAAGTTTAAAAATGCATTTACATTATCCTTAATTTAGTCTGACCTGGTTTCTTATATCAATGATGAGGCTTGCTTAATGCAATTTTAAAATTAAATAGCGCAAAAACAACTGAACCAAATATCAACACATATGGTATATTTGGAATCAGAAGAAAAAAAGCTATCATTAGGTACATTCAGGCGGTCCCAGCGGCTTAGCTCAGCCTCTCAGCAGGAACCTTATTCTCGAAACCAAGGAACAGCGTTCTCATAAGAACGATTACTCTGTCATTGTCAGTGTTATGCCGGACGACAAAGACAGAATCTTCGTTACAATGAGAACGCTGCTCTTTGGTTTCGAGAATAAAGTTCCTGCTGAGAGGCTGAGCTAAGCCGCTGGGACCGCCTGAATGAACCCATTCTATAGCCAAAAATATAGAGGGTGTTCCATTTTTAAAATGCAAGTGTTTGTCATTGTGACAGTTGGCACCTGTCATTTGCCCGTTTTCACATTCGCAAAATATAATAGACATAAAACCCTACAACTTTCATATTTAAAGTTTTTTTCCACCTTGTATAGCTAAAGCTGTACGTAGGGATTAAAATATAAGAAAACACCCAAATATAAGAAAACACATATTTCCACCCTAGTCTTGTGTACAAATAATGCTGGAAGTTATAGGCAGTAATACCAATATACACCGTTAAGGGAACCTCACTTGACTTGCAAATTTTTGAGGGTGGTTTAAGGAGGTAAAACTATTAATTGCGATTGATTCAAAAAGGGATTTCTGTGAAAATATGGACATTTCCACCCTAGTCTCGGGTACAAATGGTACTGGAAGTTGTAGACAGTACCAATATACCTCGTTTAGGGAACCTCATTTGACTTGCAAATTACTTTGAGGGTGGTTTAAAGGGGTAACACTGTTGTGTCATTTGTGAAAAATAACAATTCTATAGTATTAAAGGGGGTGTGACCCTAAAAAACGACTTAAGGTAGTTAAATCAAGAAATTTTTTTTAAGATCTCATGTGAAAACCGCAGTCCTTAAGCTTCATTTACACGGTGCAAGTAGCTTGAGCAAGTACTAACGCCAGTAACTAAAATTTAGTAACTTGAATCGTGTAAACACCTTAATTTAGTACTTGAGCAAGTAAACTTTTTAGTCAAGTGATTGATTAGTCAAGTGAATAGAAGCAGGTTCTATTTACTTGAGCAAGTGGCTTCCCCCACTCTCGTTTATTTTACTGACTTTAGCGGACTGGACGCGTGTAGACAGGATTTGTATTTAGTGATTAGTGAAGTACATTAGTAGGGTTTGAATTTGAATATTTTGAGTATTGTGTTGCACCTGTTAATTGCCTTTGCAATGTCGTCTCGTTAGACGGAAGAAACCACAATTAAATTTGTGCAAGAATACAGAGAACATCCGTGTTTATGAAACTCTAAAATTCCACTGTACAAACGAGATATCCATAGTCGAACCCAACAACTTTTGTCTATAAAATTTCTGATAATTCTCAATAAACACTCAAAATGCATTTTTGAATTTTTTTTCGAACACCTGCACTTGCTGCCATTTCACCCCAATCTGCACTAATCACTAAATTCGACTTAAAATCAGTAAAATGCATGTAGACACTCACTTGCACGAAAACAAAGATAATTTAGCTACTGGCGTTAGTACTTGCTCAAGCTACTTGCACCGTGTAAATGAGGCTATATTCAAAATAGTCTCCGAGAAAATTCCATGTGAAGATAAATTATGCAGGACCTTGTGATATCACAACCGCCGAAATCGCAGTATTCTGTTCGTTCAGTTGTCAGTGCACCGTACCTATACTTTGAGTGGTTGCAATTCGCTCTAGGAGATAATTATCTTTTGTTTTGGAAAATTCTTACACGTGTTAATACTGTGCTTGATAATCCAGTGTGACGTCACAGACAACTGGTTGTAACTTTAAACCACCCTAACTCGAAAACGGACCATCGTAGCAAGATTAGTTCTTAGATTTTTTTGTACTGAAACTTTCATTTTTGGGCCACACCCCCCTTCAATAGGTGTTTCTTATCATTCCAGAATTGGCATGAAAAATCCCATCCAATCCGCACCATCCTGTTGAGGTTTGAACAATGAGTTCCAGACCGAATTCTGGCTCAAGAACTTCAACAGGACATCGACGGGTCGAATCAGGAGGTCATCATCGTCACAGTTCTTCTAGTTCGGGACACAATCGCTCAGATTCAGGCCAGAGCTTAGGATCAGAGCAACACTTGAAACATCACGGCCATCACCGGTCCAAAAGCGGAGTCCACGGATCTGAACGGGATCATCATAGAGAACCTGATTGTGAGTTAGCTTAAACCTAGACAACTCAGAACTTATTTGTTTGAACAGAAATCTCAATGAGGCAATCAGTGTAGATCTACAAATGCCTCAGAACTATCTTTCTACGCTGTTGCCTTAATGCTAGATACAATTAAAATCCAAAGTTTAAAGCTGACAAATATTATAATAATTTTTCCTTTATATCAAGTGCATAATAAAGTCGAATTCCGTTCGACTCACTGCATCAACGATGGACACCAACACATACGACCCACCTCTTTGTATCCCCTAAAAAACAGCCATGACAGTGGATTAGTTGGTCCAGACGCTTTGCAACCCGAAAGGGAACCCATCAATTTTGAAATCAATTTGGTAGGGGCTCCGCCTGAGGTTGAACAGTTGGTTAATAACATCAAGCAGGTTGCAGAGCAATTTTTATACCACTGGAAAACTTTTCCTATTGGTAATAGACAAAACAAATAATTTATTAATTAATTAATTATTTTGTTTAGTCCTTCCTAGTCCAGTTTCTCAATGCGAAAGTTTCCCAACTTCCCAAGTTTCTTCGGATGGCTCTTTGGGCCGTTGCAAAACAAAATACCATCTCAGGGATTTATTTATAGCGCCGTCTTTTGATGAATTAGACGCAGTTGCGGTTGATGCTAAAGGGGAACCAAGGAAGCTCAGTGGCAAGCAGTTAGAGTACATTAGAGAGAGGGGGTAGGTAAAAAACAATTAATTTATTAATTATTATTAATGCACATTGTTGCCCCTCAATAAAAGTCCTTGTTTATTTGAAAATAATCCCTTGTTTTGTAAAGCTTGCACAAGGATAAATTTGGAAAACCAAAAAGGTTGAACCAGGAACAACTAGAAAGTATTAGATTATATGGGTATGTTGGAAAAATCTTGTGCCAGTGTCTTTTTCTTCACTTTGTTTTATTTTGTATTTTTGTTGTTCGATAGCAACAGTTTGTGAACTAGGTTTATATGTCAGGTTTGTTCTAATTGTTGTAAGAATTATTCGAGGCAAAATTAGAACAGATTTACAATATTTTTGTTGCTTGTCTTATTGGTTATAGAAAAACTTTTTGATTTTTTGCTGCTTTGAATGCCAAGTTGTATAGCAGGTTTTTTCTGTGACAAATGTGCAAGTTTTACTGTTATTTTTCCTTCCTTTTGAATCATCTGATAATATCACAAAAATCACTGGATGTGTTTTAGGGAATTCGAAGTTGAATCGCTCAACTTTCCCGGGCAACAGCACCGTTGGAAATTGTCACAGCTATTGCAAAAAGGCACAGAGAACAGTAGGAATTCGTTACTGAACGATTTAGCGTTGGCGCTGCGTTTTATTTTTGTCACAGCGAGAGGGCGTTTGTTTGACCACTTTTTTAGCGTTAAACAAGCAGCTAAAGCCCTTATAGCTGGTCTATTGAGGATTTTAGATTTGCTTGTTGGAATACCGAGCTTACAAGCTCATAATTTAGATGCTAAAATTAGAGAAGAACGAAGCAAGTATCTTGTTGCTGAGTTGGTTTGTAGAGTGAGTCTCATTTTGATTTTCCTGTAACAATTTATATGGATAAGATAATTATTTTTAGGCTGAAAATGAAGACGCCTTAGAAATACTATGTTCCTACATAAAAAAGCAATTACGTAGAGCTGCAACTGAAAAATTCGAGGTTGCTAGAGAATGCAGTCAACCTCCAGTAGCACTGCCTTATCGTTTTCTGACACCCTCGGGATCTGAGTTGGATTTACGCCTGTGGGATCGCAGTTTGATGCGTAAAGCTTTGCCTGTATTGGTCAGTATATTAGAAAAAGAGACCAGAGGGTGGTTTTTGCATTTCCGCGAAAGACTGATTGCAGAATTGAGAGCTCAAAAAATGCCCGATGAAGATATCGAAAGGGAAGTCAATGAGGCTGTTATGAAGGAATATTTACAGCGTGTTTACAATAACATTTTGTCGCATCCTGACATCAATGGTTTAGGTGATGGCATTGCTCAATTGTTAGTTCAACAAGCGCAAAGTGTAGTTTCATTACACAGAGCGGTGAGTGGGTTTTCATTTATTTTTCTGTAATTTATACAAATTTCAATTGTAGGTCGAAAACGTTCAACACCGCCTCTACAAAACTCAGGAAGAAGTCAAAAACAAGCTGAGAAACGTCCATCCAATATTATCCAGAATAGAGCCCTGGTTGAGATCAAAGTTACGAAACTCTGAACAAAAATTCAGCCAAGAGAACCAATGGAGCGCCCACGAAGAAGCTTTGGCCCTTTGCAACACTCAAAGGTTACACCAAACCGTGTATTTTCTAAATCGAGATTTGGCTTTTATGCGAGAACGAGAGCCTGCGCTATTGAGGGAGTTGAAAAAAGTCAAAACACCCACTCGAAGTTTTTTGTGGCCCACTCAAATTTGGCTGCCAACTAATTGGATTGTACGACGGAATTTCCAAGGGCAATCCGAGGTGGTACCTACGGTACTTAGTAAACACGCTACTACTATTACTACTCCTAGATCTGATCCTAGTCAACCGGTATTTCTTGTTGAAAAAGAAATCGTCAGAACAACAACAACTCGCTGGCCCTTGTGGCGAATCTTTAACTATTTCCATCGCACTTGGTGTTGGACGTGGAATGTAATGTTTTTCTTTGGAATTGTTATTCCTTGGTGTAGCCCTTTAGGGCTGCGGGCTCTTTTTTTTATTGAACCTTTTATGCCTGACTTGGAATTATCCCAAGTCAATGGTACTTTGTTTCCAAGAAAATCAAGTCTAACTCCTACGTTGGCTTCAAGATTGTTGAATCTCTGGAGACATATTTCTAAATCTAGGACTCATTTTGAAACAAAACCAGATACTGGGTTTATAGGCAAAGGATTTACAAGGCATTTAAATAGGATTTGGAATTATTGTTTCAAAGGGCTATTTGGTACAATTGGTTTAGTGTTTATTTTTCCTTTGGTTTGTTTAAGCCTTATAATCGTATGCCTTTTTGTATCTTTGACATCTGCTATTTGGATGCCATTGTTGACTATGTTAGTTCAAATTACCAACGGGCTTGTTTACGATTTGGACAGCCCCGAGCCTCAAAGAAATCGATTTTTTGTAATTTTTGAAGCCTTGCTTTGGAATTTAGGTATTCAAGGGTGTCTTCAGCCCATTGCAGCTTTATTTATTGCAGCTATTGTTTGTCCGATAGTTTCTCTGATTATTTTAGCAGGGGGTGTGGCCAGGTATTGGTTCAGACTGATGTGGGATGCTACAGCGTTTCATTTGATAATCAAAAAAAGGGGCAGGATACCTGCCTGTGATAGTTTTGCTGTGAAAAGAATAGCCGGACCTGGATTGGCTTCTGATTATTATTTCCAAATAAGTCCCGAGCAAGCTTTGGCTGCGTTTGAAGCCAAAATGGAGTGGGACGAGTTGGCTGCTTATCAAACGGTAGTTGAAAACACCATAACGCAACCTCAAAAAGATTTCAGTCATTTTGTAGAGGCTTGTTTTGGTAGTTTTTCAGCGCAACTATCAAAAAACGGGCCTTATAAAAACTTGGAAAAAGAAGCTCAAGATCTTTTAACAGTTTTACATGAGAAACTGGAAAGACGACGCAGAGATTTACAAACTGGGCTTGGAGTGATTATTAAAAGCAAAATAAAGCTTACTACGTTGGAATTGAAGATTGCCATACAACAAGGGGCGATGATGTTGGAGAAATTTTATCCGAATCACATTTTCCAAAAGCTGAATTGCACCGAAGACGATTTTTGGGATAACAAGGCTTTGAGTCCGGGCGATTGGGCCAGTTTAGCAGGCTTATTATACACAGAACTATTTAGTTTAGACTTTTTGACTCCACTAGATCATACCGATACGACGTTTCGGTTAGATCCACATCCTCAAGCCGACCTGTCAAGATACACTGACATGGTACAGTGCGCTCAACTGGGTGCCGGCGGTCCGGATTTGTTGGGCAACGTATATACTCCTAGGGGTAATATACAAGTTCATTCTCCTTATTTAGAAGTGTCGGCTTTTAATCCTAGAGTCAAGCAATCTGCTACTGGAAAGAAAAACGACAAAAAAACGTAAGTGTTTTGTGGGTTTTTATTTATAAATTATATGTTTGGGTTGTTTTTTTTTTTAAGGGAATGCACAACGCCTCTAGGTTCGCTTAAAGGCACTAGGACCACCTTGTTGACGCCCTGGAAACGTTACTACAGGCCCTATTCGCCCGACAAAATGGTAATTCCTTTGCCTGTGCCTCATCCTGCTCATATTGCAGTCACAATTTACAATCGCGATTCGGATGATCCAATTTCGCTCGAATCTGACGTTTGTCAGAGTTTGTTGAGGTGTATTGAGGAGCATCATGCGTCACCTGATGACAGTGGTAAGGACTTATCGAGGGGGGTGAACTACCTTGACAAAGTACATTAAAATCCTATTTTTAACGGAATCCTGCTGGAATTCCACTGAAAATGAATTAAAATAGGAACTAATGAGTATGTAGTATATTTTTCAACGAGTGGGTAATGATGGCTATTACTGACGAAGGATGAAGCTCGCACTACGAGCCGCAGGCGAGTATTGTAATCATCCAAGTGAGTTATAGGGTAATAGCCATTACCGAGGCCATTACTAACGAGTAGTTTTTCTATGATTAATAGATAATCGGCACGAGTTATGCGGTTCCTTATTTTATTTTCGTAACAAAATTAGTTGACAATTTTGACAGCTGGAGGACATGTTAGGTTAGGTTAGCGTAAGCAAATCAGCTGTCAAAATGACCGATTGGAACGTCTGGAAGGTTGAGGCGGTTGAGGGTCTTAAATAGTGGAGTAATGAAACCAGGATACTTTCATTGGTTGGTCTTAATCCTATAACAGCCAAATTTAAACTTAAAAACTACAAACTAATACCGGCCTTTATACAGGGTGAGTCACTAAGCGCGCGATGGTCCATATCTCCTTTACTAACGGAGATCGAAGAAAAATCTAAATACAAAACTAGTAGATAAACATAAGTATCACATTTCTAAATTATGTTCCAGTATACAGGGTGGCCCAATAAGTAGTGGTGACACAAAGTTATGTTTTTTTTAAATGAGTCCCCCTGTATATTATGACATTTCTGGATTCTGCTAGACATATTTCATGTACAATGTCATATACTTATCTTGAACTGTTTTGTATTTAGTTTTTTCTTCGATCTCCGTTAGTATAGAAGATATGGACGACCACACGCTTAGTAACTCACCCTGTATATCCCTAATCTATTCTTGAAAATTCCGGAATAACCGCGATCGACCTTGTTCCCGAACATCAACATAAAATCTCGAATCAGCTGTCCAATTCTCTACACCCTGGTGGTTCAGCCAGATTTTCGCGACAATAATATGTTTGTACACTATAATTTCAAGGTGGTTTACTCCTATAGGAACTCATGATGTTTTAACTAACATAACATTTAATCAAATCCGTTTCAGGTATAGGTCGTTTTCGTAGCGGCGACGACTCGTGTGGTACAATGAGTTCCAGTTCAGGCACCCTAGACAGTCCACCTACAAGAGTGGACCAATCAAGCGACGGAGTTTACCAATGGACGTTGAGCAATTGGGGTCAGAGAAAGAGAAATAATTCAGGTAGCGTCCGAGTGGATTTGGCCAGTCCAGAAGACGTCACTTTGGACAGCGACAGTACTCGAGTAGTTTTTAGTACCTATGGCACAACAGTTTGAATCTCCCATCCAGTATTTTTATATGCATTTAGTTTATTACTCGAAATATTTTGACTCTCTAATTTTTATTTTAAGGCCAGTAGGAATTTTAAACCAGTAAGCAATTTTGATTGTTTAACTGATCAAAGTTGCTCTGACTAGCTTATAATTTCTGGGGTTGCATCATCACAACAGCTTTAATTTTTTTTCTAGTGATTGATTTAAGTTTTACTAAAAGTACCTATATTATTAAGTGAAAATTTATATTAGGATAAATATTGGTAATTTAAGCTAAATTTATTCAGAATTGAATAAATTTGTGGCAAAATAAGAAAATGCTTATTGTGAACATAATGCAGAATATTTAAAAAGTTAAATTTTAGGGACGAATTAATGATTACACATTGGAAGCGATATTAATTAGGCTTCAAATGCGTCTATGTAAGCGATAATCCATGTTGAATTTTGCAAAATAAATAGGATGAAATTTTTGCAATTATACATTTCCTTCCACTTTTAGTACCTAAAATAAAAATTGTTTGTTCAATTTTAATAGCTTAAAAAAACGAATTTTGAATTTAAAAATAAAAGCGTTTCAAACCAAATGAGTGATTTTTGGTAATAATACATTTTTACTAAAAGCTAGAGTTTTTTTGTAAATGCTTCTTTTATTATTATGTAATAGTTTTTGTATGTCAATCTGCGCTTGTCTTAATATTAAGTTAATATTTTTGTGATGAATTTATGTATTTAGTTTGTTTGTTTGTATTGGAAGCTGCTACACAATACAAAACGCTTGTTTTGTAAATATTTTTACAAAAATATTGTATTTATTATGTTCCCTAGGAACTGCATTACCCTATAAAGTACAATAGTTGAAATATTTTTTTTTCTGACTAAAATTCAAATTAATGCCAATAGCTGTGAAACTGATGCTTTGTGTTGAATATTGTTTAATAAAATGCATTTAAGACTGTTTTGATTTTCGAATAAATACCAAAGTCAAAAAAAAACTCAATTTGAAATGAGTTTTGGTAGATGAGAGGATATTCACAGGGCACAGAACAAGTACATTCAACAGCTGAAGCTGAAGAAGTAGGTAGTAGCGTTGCTTTTGATGATGCGGTCTATGAGGTTGAAAATGGTTATGTTTCAAACTAGAGGGAAATCATTAGTGGAAATCATTGTACATTTTACTAGAAATCATATAGTAATCAATCAGGAATACATGGAAATTACTTGGGAGTCTCTGGGAATAACCTAGGAATTGCTACGAATCTCCCAGGACTTCATGGGAATTACATAGAAATCGTAGTAGTTAACCCAAATATTTCCAGTCTTTCAGGATCGGTTAGTCCTCTCAACTCGAATGGAATTCTGGTAACCCGCCTTTGAACCCTTTCCAAAATTTCTATGTCTTTTATGTAGTAGGGGTTCCAAATACTATAAGCATACCTACTCGATTTTTGGTCTGATCTAGGAGGCGTACAACTTCCTCACAATCTGAAGAGAGTTATCTTTGAAAGTCTTTTGCATCATGAAAATAAAACTATTGGCCTTTTTCACTATCCTATTTATATCTCCAATTTCAAATCATAAGAAATCAGCACGCCCAAATCCGTTTGCTCAGCAATGCTAGTAAGCTGAACATTATTTAGGAAGTATGCTTCATGTGGATTATTCGGACCAATATGCAGTATTGTACATTTTAATGCATTGAGCCTCATGCACCACTGGTCCGTCCATATATCAATTCGCCTTAGATCCCTATTCCAGCAGTCCCTTTGCAACAATAGATTAAAGAACACCTTGGTGTCATCAGCAAAGAAAATGATGTTTGTCTCAATGTTCCATGACAAATCGCTAACAAAAACCAGAAACATTAAGGGTCCCAAAACAGACCCTTGAGGGACCCCACTCATAACCAGATGTTTATTGGACAAAATACCATTGACCTTCACCTGATAGAAGCGGTTGGTGAGAAAGTCGTTGATTAGAGCAAGAAGCTGGCCTCTTATACCAAAATATTCAAGCTTGTGGAGCAACAATGAATGAAGTACTTTATCAAACGCTTTCTCAAAGTCCAAGTATATTACATCTGTCGGTTGCCTTTTTTCATGAGCTTTGGTCCAATTATCAACCCAGCTTAGAAGGTTCCTTATTGTTGAACGCTTTGAAATGAAGCCATGTTATGAATTTGGTAGAACTTTGTTGGTAAGTAGGAAGTCAGTCATTTCAGCAGCAACAATTTTTTCTAGACATTTGCAAGGATTACAGGTCAAGCTGATGGGTCTATAATTTTCTGCGATATGTCTATCACCCTTCTTATAAAGTGGAGTCACCGATGCATGTTTCCATATTTCTGGAATTTTTCCTGAATCCATACATTGTTGAAATAATCCTGAAAGATGGTAATTGTGGCTTTACACTTTTGTAGAAATATTGTTGGAAATTCTTCTGGGCCTGGACTGGATTCTGACTTCATTTCACTTAAAGCCCTGTTCACTTCTTCTTCTGTAAATTCTATCCTAAACTGTGTTATAATTAACTTGAATAAGAAGAAGAACGAAATGAAAATTAAGTCTGTTCTCACGGAAATCACAAACTCTGACTGGTTTGTGATTTCTGTGAGAACAAACGTTAAGTATAACAATGTTGTGGATCACAAAAATGAAAATATGAATCTTAAAACAACTCTCGAATTTCTTCACACATCAGGATCACACAGAAGGAGGGTCGTTTGTCGATCGAGTACTAAGAGCTAGGAATGTTCCTGAGGAAGACACAAAAGTAAAAGTCGGGAATCCAAGGTAGAGGTAATAAGAACTTGAACAGGGAAATTAAAATAAATACTAAGCAGGGCGAGGAGCCGAGACGATATAGCATATAACAATCAGAAATAAGTTTGTCGAGTGAAATCCAAACTGAAAATTTCTCTGATTTAGATTCAGATGAACATTCTAATGAAATTATAGAAATGTCCATTATATTAAATTTTCCAAATTTAACCAACCCTGTATCTCTTATGGTTGCCAAGATCCCTCTAGACTGCATCCTTATCCGGGACACCTTGTATCCCTGTCAAACTTTTTATCAGTTTTTGAAATTAAACTTCTTAGGCGGCAGTCTGATATTTATACGAGAATATGAAGAGTGATTTGAAAGACGTCTCACGTAACGTCACGTTTTGGCAAATTTCGTTACACGAGAGACGAGAGAGAAGGAAGATATAACGTAGACTGTAGAAAGGAGAAAGCGAGCCAATGACAATGACAGACGAGGAACGATTGACACAAACCAAGGATTATAAGTAAAGAGGATTGCCTATTATTGTCAAGCGCCGATATCCTTTTGACGTCACTATAGTTGCACGTCTCCCTTTTGTGTGGCCCTTCGTCTTTACCCCGACTCATGCGCTAAGTCTAAAAGCTGTATGAGGGAGGGTATAGTTTTTAAAAACTTTCACACAACACGTGTACAATGCTACATATGATTTTTTTGAAGTGAAACTTCTTAGGCGGCGGTCTGATTTGGCCGAGAATGTAAAGCGATTTGCAAGACGCGTCACGTTACACGTAACGAGACGTTTTGGCAAATTTCGGCACACAAGACACGAGAGAAGAAAGATATAACGTGGAGAGACGGAGAAAGACAGCCAATGACAATGACAGCCGATGAACGATTGACACAAACCAAGGATTATAAGCAAGGAAGATTGCTTATTATTGTCAGGGATGTGCGTCTACACGTAGACTTTCATTGTCTACTTTACGTGTAGACAATGTAGACAACGTGTCAACAATGTAAAATAATATAAATGACGTTTAATTCTAACCTCACACTTTCCTTTTTTTAATTTTTTTTTATTTTATTATTGGTTTTCCTGATATTTTATAATCAGTGAATGCTGATGTCGAAGTGATAGTGATAGTATAGTAACTTTTGATATTTTTTTTTCGAATTTTTTAAAATAAGTTATTGTTTACGCCGCATGTAGACAATGTGTAGACAAATGCTCACGTAAACAATTCGAATTGTCTTCGCGTAGACAATCAATTGTTTACGTTGACATTGTCTACAGGCGCACATCACTGATTATTGTCAAGCGCCGATGCCTTTGTGACGTCACTACAGATGCTCGTTTTTCTTTTGTGTAGCCTTTCGTCTTTATACCCCAACTCATGGGCTATGTGTCTAAAAGTTGTATGAGGAAGGGAATAGTTTTTAAGAAATTCACTTCTTAACACGTGTGCGATGCTACATATGATTTTTATTTTATGTTTTAAAAAAGTTGGGAAAATTAGGAATGTCACCCCCCCAAACCAGAGACCTTCGCTACGTCTCTGGAAAACATTTCAAGCAAAAACCAAAGCATCAAAAAATATATCTATCAGCGATGTTAGAGAGGGTACAATTGTACCAAAAGGAGTACATTGAAGGCTTTTAAAGTACAGTGGTACAATCAGATGAAAAAATGTACAATTATATATTCCTTCAGGAATTATTATTTTATTAACAAAGTTCTCAAAAAAATATAAAACTTTTTTTTAAACGTATCAGCTTCATAATAGTAAAGTAAATAGGTATATTGGGTATATGTATGTATTAATATGGATCCATCAATAATGGTGAATGTAATTCAATATAACCTTAACATCGAGGCCCGTTTATTGATTTTATAGGGTTTTTTTGCTTCAAGCAGATCTCAGCATATTGGCGTTCACTTGTCCCATATATTATAAGCTCATAAAAAGCAGCTCCTAGCAGAACTTTCTAATTTTCGAGCAGGTAGAGCAAGTTCAAATGAACAGCCTATTATTAGACTCCAAGAAAATTGGTACCTTTCAAAAATTGATAATCACCACTAAAATAAATAATAGTTTAGTACCGAGCCCAATTGGCCATCTCCATTTAATTAAAATATTTAAAAAAAAAAGCAGGATAGTATACCCATACGCCAGAGAGGACAGTAAACATCTTGCATGCCAATTTTTATGCGATAGAATGAAATGTCTAGAAAAAGTCTAAGGTTGAATAAAAAACGAGAACGAGTTCCCCTGTTCCACAACCGAGGTTCCACCTCTAGCATTCCCTGCGCTTTTTGCTGGAGGTGGAACAAGGAAAATCGTTTTCGTTCTCTATTTATAAGACTTTATCTAAACATTTCATTCTATCGCATTAAAGTTGGCATGTAAAAAGTTTACTTGCTAGGCGTGTATACCTAAGGGGTGGTTTCTCAATAGCGAGTTACCCCCGGGTTGAGCATAAATCCAGGGTAAACATAGCAACTGGACACGCTAACCCTGGGGTTGAAACCAAATCGGAGGTGACTCGATATTGAGAAACCGGCCCTATAAGATTCAAAACCTAAAAAATTTACAATTTGGTCGAAAATAGTACAATTATGATTTTAGAAAAAGTACAATTGAAATTTTTCTTGTAACAACGCTGATATCTATTGTTACTTTTGAGAAGGCGCTGGAGGGGCGCCAAAATTTGGACTTGCCTTGGGCGCCGAGGGTTCTAGTTGCGGCCCTGAATACCTGGTAAATTGCTTTGAGAAGTACCTAATGACATGGAGTAAAAAACTCAACTATTTATTGGAAAGTTTTTAATGAGAGAATCAGAGTTATGTCTCCTATATTTAAAAAGCAATATAATTTATATTTTTTACCTTCGAGCATGCGACAAAATGCACTTTGCCGCACTTATTTGCAAACTTTGGTATTTATGATCATAAGTCCCTTCTCTTTCCGAAATTTCAATAATCCCCGTTGTTCGGTCAACTACCAATGCGTGCGGTAAAGTATCACTTTCCGCATTTGTTAGGTAAGTAAATAACTATTTTGGACTTGGAGCAAAATCAGTAAAATGGCTACTTAAACCACAGATTTCAATTTAAATAATTATGAAAATTATTGGCTATGTTCATAGATGGCGCATCCATAGCAACACAAAGTTTGTCACTATTGGCAACATCGTACAAAATCATTAAAATTTCTATAAATTTCAACCAATCAGCGTTCGAGGTTTTTATTTCGTCCAATCAAAATGCTCGCACGAGCGTAGTTTCCGAATCTTTTCCCATAATTCCCAGCCTTTGTTACGAAGCATACGAAACGAAGTGTGGCGCCATTTTGTCGCCATTCGAAGTTTTGCCGTTAACGCGTAAAGGTGTTTCTCGTGTCTATCCGACTTAATTTGAAAGTTTTTGCGTAAGTTTTGGATTTTATAACATAAAAATATCGCTAATTATTAGCTTTTGTACTGCAGATTATTTCTATGTATGTTTTTTGATGATTTTCCTATGATTTCTTGGTAAAATTGAAGAAATCAAAAAATGTTGGCGTTGGTAGGGTCCATTGTTTGTGGCCGCCATCTTGTACACTTTCGAGAAATTCTGTGTAATTAATTTGCTGGTAATTTTTCCATTTGCGATTTCCCTTTTTTCTCTGACTGTTTTTATATATTTGTTGACAAAAATCGGTCAATTTTGCTTGGCGGCAACACTTCAATGGTCGCCCCCATCGTTTTTCCCGCCAAATTTTTTTTTCATCAATTTTTTTTTTTAAAAAATAGAAAAAATGCGGATTCCATTGATAGAAACCTCGTGTTTAATTTAACCACTCAAAATAACCAATTTCCATTATAATTTAGTTTACTATGGCTCGTACCAAGCAAACAGCCCGTAAATCTACGGGAGGAAAAGCCCCCCGTAAGCAGCTGGCCACTAAAGCTGCAAGAAAATCAGCCCCATCTACCGGAGGCGTTAAGAAGCCTCACAGATACCGTCCAGGAACTGTAGCCCTGAGAGAAATCAGACGTTACCAAAAGTCCACTGAATTGTTGATCCGTAAACTCCCTTTCCAACGTCTGGTCAGAGAAATCGCTCAAGACTTCAAAACTGACTTGCGTTTCCAGTCTGCAGCTATTGGAGCTTTACAGGTGAGATTATTTTTTTGTTTGTTTTGCAATATTTTGTAATACATTTTCAATTGCAGGAAGCAAGTGAAGCTTACTTGGTTGGTTTGTTTGAAGACACCAACTTGTGCGCCATCCACGCCAAGAGGGTCACCATCATGCCCAAGGACATACAGTTGGCTCGAAGAATCAGAGGCGAACGAGCCTAATTTAATTATATTGTAATACTTAATTTTAAGGGTAGTTGTAGTTTGAATGCATACTGCCACGTTTTGCGTTTGTCGGAGTATTTGTTTCATTTTTTCTGTGTCAGTAAATTTTCAGTAATCATGCTCATTCCATTCACATACTTAGTTGTATAAAAAAAAAAATTGGTGGATGTGTGCTTTGACAGATTCTATTTAGTTCTTAATAAATAATGTTTATTTGTAATTTTTTGTACGTTCAGTAATTTTCACACTAAAAACTATTTCACAATAAAATAGTTTAGATTTAATTGTGTTTTATTTGACTTTAATCTCTCGAGATGATAATATAATACATACAAAAATACTCCATCAAAATTACTTGTGTGAGAAAGGAAATTGTGATTATTTAAAACGAAGGTCAAATAGGTTTCGAGTAGAGATGAGCCGAAACAGTTATTTTGGAACAGGTTGCATAGAAATCTATTCACCGTATGCTCAAAGATATTGCCTTGCCTTGGTTATCCTTTTTTAACTCAAGCCAAGAAAAAAGGATAGAGATGCACTTATATCGATTATAACAATAAGCGAAGTCGTTATAGCAATTTCATGTTATTGGTAATTGACAGCCCATCTCTAGAGTGGAGCCGGCTTCTAGAAAATTAATTTTGCCTCCATTCCAATCCCATTCTTCTACGACTTGCCGAGTGAAGCGGTTCACTTTTAAATTTTCTTATTTTCCAGCTGTTTTCCGGCTTTTCATTACATTTTTGGTGATTTTTTGGTAAGTTAACTGACTTTTTAATAATTTTCCTTAATATTTTTGTACAAATAAATTATTGTAATGTGGTACCTACATCAAAAGGAGATCAAGGATCAAGGCAGCGTAATGGCCACGTTTAGGTGACTTGTACTTTTACCTTTGGGTTTTTTTACCTGTTATTGAAGGATACGTATACAATATACTATTTTTATAATTCTGTCTTGAATATTCTGTACAATTTTTATGGTGTTTTGAGAGGAATTTAACTCAAAAAAAAGGGGTTTTACCATTTTGCTTGAAGGTAAAAGGAGGGACACAAAATTGAGGTGCTTTCTTTGCAGGCAAACGCTCAATTTATCGAATTAACAATCTGAAGGTGGAATTGATTGTTTTTCCATAGAATTCTACGTAAATTCTCCTAGAATTCTACGTAATTCCCCTGAAGGTAGAATTGAATTTCTTCCCCTAGAATTCCACATAACTAATTCCTCTAGAATTTCACATAATTCCCTTAGAATTCTAAATAATTCTCTATAGGTGGAATTGATTTCTTCCCCTAGAATTCCTCGTAATTCTCTTAGAATTTAATGTAATTCCTCTAGAATTTCAATTGAAAAAGAATCTAAAGATTTTAAAATTTTTCATTTCTTATCACCTTATGAGGTGATTTATAGTCAATAATAATTGATATTGTTATATCTTTTGATGTTGGAAAAGTTATTTTGTGTGAAAAGTAATATTGCGCAAGCTTTCACAGGTTATTTATTAGAAATTTCACATGATTTTTTCTAAGGAAGATGAAAATTCATAATTTCATTTCTGAACTTGAGATCCACTTGTGGTTTGTTCTGTTTGATAAAAACACCCTACTCAATAAATCCTGAAAGTTTAAAGTCCCTCTGATTGCTTGAAGTATTTTTCATAAGCTTCCAAAGGTGATTTAATAGAAATTTTGTGTGATTTTTTTGCATCTGTCTAAGTGAGAAAAAAATCATAATTCCATTTCTGAACCTGAGATCCATTCGAGGTTTGTTCTGTTTGATAAAAACACCCTACTCAATATAATAATAATAATAATTATAATAATAATAATAATTTACTCAATATTTTCAGTATACATAACAACAGTACAATTCACAATAATATTTTTATAATCTAATAATTTTTTATTCTGGCACCTAGGCATGAGAATGCCTGCATGTGCCACGTTTAATGGTATAAATCGAGGTATAAATAGTTGATAATGATAATGAATGAGGGGTATCATGTATAAAATTCTGGCCTAGCAGTACCCTAATTCATTAGAGATAAGGGCAGGTTTAAACAGTTTAAAGATTCTGTAGACTGTAGGTGAAATATCTTATAGTTATCCCTAAATACACTGATTTTGAAAACTTTTGTAATTCTTAAATATTTATTCTTTACAACTTTTTTTGAATTCTTTAAGACTAGTTTTCAATGGCAATAGGTTGTAGAATTTTGAAGCACAGTTTTCTAGAAACTTAAGACTCAATGTCTTTTGGCTCTTTTGTATAGTTACGTTTTTATTCATTTTATTACGTGTATTATGCTTATGAGCTATGAGTAATTTTGATTTATTATTTTTGTACATGTAAACGCAAGTTGACAAAATATACAGTTGCTGAATATTAAAAATATTTTCGTTATATAATTGTTTTGTGGGGTGGAGTTTATTTTTGTTGAAGATAACTTTCAATACATAATTTTGAACAACTTGTAAAGGTATTAAGGTAGTTTTGTAAGCAGCACCCCATGCTGTAATACCATAACGTAACAATGATTCAACTAGTGATTTATAGATCAATATTGATAGTTTTTCATCAAGGATTTCGCGTAAAATGTAAAATTTATATATAAGTTTTCTGACCTTTGATACAACATGGCTGATATGATGTGTCCATTTAAGGTGTTGGTCGATCACAATCCCCAGATATTTCATTTTTTCACAAGAATCAATAGATTCATTTTTATTTATGAAAATTTTTTCAAAGTTTGGTCTATTTTTATTTACTGGAAAAAATGCAATGTAGTTTGTTTTCTGTAGGTTCAATGAGAGCTTGAAGTTTTCCAGCCAATTTTTAACAGTGTTGAATCCCCTGATGACTTTCTGCCTGGTTTCCTCCCAGGACGCCCCCTTAAAGATCAATGCTGTGTCGTCTGCATAGGAAATTACCTCCCCTTCCAGTTGTATGTTTAGGAGTGAGTTTATGTAGGTTAGAAACAGTATTGGTCCCAGTATGGTTCCTTGGGGAACTTCCGTTTTTATTATTTGCGGCGAACTTATAGTGTTGTCTACTTTCGTGTGTTGGTATCGGTTTGAGAGGTAGCTGCGGAAGACATCAAGGGCCATTCCCCTTACTCCATAATGTTCTAGGGCGCTGAGAAGTTGTTTATGAGGCACTGTATCGAAGGCCTTAGCGAGGTCCATAAATACTACTATTGTCTTTTCACTATTGTCCATACTCTTCGTTATTTCTGATGTAAGATGCTGAATAGCCTCAGAAGTACTGATTCCCTCTGTGAACCCATACTGTTTATTAGATAGGATGTTATTTATTTTAAAAAAAGTTACCAGTCTGTCCTTTAGTGCCTTTTCAAAAATTTTTGTCAAGTTATTAATGAGGCTGATGGGTCGATAATTTTCTATTTTATTGATTTGACCATTTTTGTAGATTGGTGTTATTAGGGAGGTTTTGAAATGATGTGGAACAGTACAAATATTAGATTTATGATGTGTTTTAAAGGTGTGATTATATGTGGATGTATGAGTTTTATTAATTTACTGGAAATTCCATCCATACCAGGGGCACTATTTGATTTTAGGGATGAAATATGTTTAATGAGTTCTGAGTCTGTTATCGGTCTCAAATACATGGACGCGTTCGCATTTTCTGAGAAATCCAAACGATAAGGTCGCTCTGGAATTTTTATTTGCTTCTCTAGTTCAGCACCAACATTTATGTAATGGTTGTTGCAGAAATTAGCCATGACATTATTATTTTCGAATTCTTCATTTTTTTCATTTAAAATTTTTTTTGTTTGTGTTTTAATGGCATTAGTGCCTGTCACTTTATTTATTATTTGGAAAATTTTTCTTATATTATTATTGCTACCTACTATTTCTTTCTTATAGAAGTCATATTTTACTTTCTTAATTAATTTGTTTAAGCTATTTCTATAATTTTTATAATATTGTTCCAAGTCAGGGTCATAATCTTTTATTAATTTCTTTTTTATTTTATTTCTTTTCTTTATTGACGTTATGAGTCCATTGGTTATCCATTCTTTACATTTTTTGTGCGCTTGTTTTATAGTTTTAGTAGTTTTGGACTTCTCAATGCAGTCAAGAATCATTGTTACGAAAATGTCAACAGAGGTGTCTGGGTTATTCGACTGAAGTACCTCAGTCCAATCGCAGGTTGTTAGGCATTCTTGAAAAAGGTCATAGTTAATTCGGCTTATTGTTGTTGTTTGCTTGCTAGTCATTTTGTTATCTTCTGAGTTATTATGTATGTTTATCATTATTGAATAGTGATCTGTTATATAGGTATCTAAGATATATGAGTCCATGTTGAGGTGTTGTGTTTTATTGTTTATAAAAAAATGATCAATACAGGAATTTGTATTATATCTTGTTGTTGATTGTATATAAGGCAAGAAGCCATAATTTCCCATGAGACATAAATATTCATTAACAGTTGCATCATTTATAGCCTTGATGTTTATGTTTAGATTTTAGATTTTTGGTTTCACCCTTTCGAGCCCATACTCTACACTGCAGCCTTTATAGGCTTTTTGTATGTCATTCGTATGGGTTCTACTCCTTCTCATTCATACTTGCAGATCAGATGATTGGCGGCAGCGCGGTCGACCCACCGTCCCGTACTACTGCGGTCACCCATCCAATCTCCAACCCGACAACGCGTTGCTTGGCTTTGAGTTTTTTTTTTTTTTTTTTTTACGGATATGCGCACTCGCAAGGAAATGTCCAATCACGCTCGAGAAGCGGCAAGTGCGCGGAAATGTCGGTGTATGTTGGTCTTGAAACGGTTCAGGTTGTAACCTGCAGGGAAAATCGTCGCAGGGAGTTTATTCCACAGCGATGCTGTTCTCCAGAGATATGAATTCTGATATAATGAAGTTCTTGGTGCCTCTAGTTTGACAGTAAATTCATGGTTACCGTCTGTTTGACGGGTTCGCCTGGTAGGTGCTACTCTCGGTGGAATCATACGTGCCAACTCTTCAGAGCATTTTCCGTGATAGTACCTGTAGAAGAGAGATAAATCGCCCACAGATCTGCGATGTTCGAGACCATCCAAGTTACGAGTAAGTGCGGGGTCATTGATCAGCTTGATAGCTCGTTTTTGCACGGTATTCAAAAGCATTAAGGTATGTTTGGGTGCTGCACTCCATATATGTGAGCAGTACTCCATAGTTGGTCGAATCTGGGCTTTGTAGAGTGTCAGCAATTGGCTTGGTGTGTACAGATGTCTTGTACGAAATAGCACCCCCAGCTTTTGGGAGGCCCTTTTAGCAATATCTGCCTGAGTAGGGCGTCCTGTCGTCCTTTATCAAAGCGCCAACGTGCCGGTTGATGTTTATGTTAATGTCACCTGTGAAGATTTCAATATTATTGTTTGTATTATTGGAGAAATATTCATTCAGATCCTGAAAGAAATTACCGTTATTTACTTGAGGGGATTTATAAATCGCTGTTATTCCATAAGTCTCTCCATTTAGTTTAAAAGTAATTCTACTTATCATTATTTCTGATTTTTCGACTTTTTGGTGAGAAACAATAGGATTTATATTTGTTCTAATTAGAATGAGTATTCCATCATTCTTGTTATAATTATAGTAAGTATTGTACCCATCGATATTAAAAAGTTCTGGAGTAGAGATTTTAAAGCTTTCAGTTAGAATAAAAATATCACAGTAAGTTAGTTTACCTTGTTCAATAAGCAGCAGGAATTTATCAAAGTTTTCCTTGGCACTTCTAATATTTAATTGGAGAATATTTAGTTTTTTCTCAGTTTCATGTATATTTTTATGTAATGTCTCCAGTTCAATCAGTTGTCCTATACTTCCCATCACAATACTTTTAAGGTCATCTAGTATTATTTCTTGGTCTGTTTGAACCATTATGAACCGTAATCTATTTTATTTCTTAGACAGTTCATATGGTATTGGTAGGAAGGGCAACTGATATCATTTGCAGAGTGATTAGTGTTGTTGTTGCCAACCTGCGTATACTTTCTTCTGACTTATTGCTTTGTGGTATAAGCCAGCTGAGCACTCAACATAGATTGTCAGATTATCATTTTTTTTCATGTGTTTTATAAATGTGACTGTTAGTTCATCCTCTTCATTAATCCATGTATTCTGTTTTCTAAGATTTCTTTCAACTTCTTGGTGATTTTTATTTTCCTTCTTATCTACTCCAGTGATCTTTATTCTTGTTGGTCTCTTTTTAATTTTTTCTATTGTGCATGTGTCTGCAAGCTCATTTATCATGGCTGTTTTCAATTTTTCTCCTTCAAGTTTAGTGGGACATTTGATTATGACATCTCCCTCTTTTGTGCTTCTCACCTTTTTTATTCCTATTTCAAGTGCTGATGGATTAAGTTTTTCTTCTATTAGTTTTCTTGTGTTGTTGGCATTCTTCTTATTTTTTGCTTTTATAATGATGGTTTGTTCTGTATTTGCAGTAGGTTTCAGTTCCAATGCATCAGCATAGGTTTTACGCTGTCCACCATTGTTAATCTGATTTTGTTTGATTTGGTTGATGTCAAGTTTAATTTCATCTAAAGTTTTCATAATAAAGGGCATTCTAGCTATCAATGCTTTGCACTCTATACATATGTACAATGATATTCGTTTTTTCAAAGGCATGCACCTTTCTTCAGAGGGTGATAATTTTGCACACTGAGTATGAATTTGTCTCAGGCAGGAGTCACAATTGTGTATTGTTTCATCCTCTTCAATCCTTTCTTTGCACTTGATGCACTTTCCTTGTTCTTCCTCCATTCGGGGACACACTCAGTTCAGTAGATCTCCAAAGATTGCACAAGTTGGCAACGTTGATTGTCAACCGAGAATTTCTACACGATTTATTATGTTTTTCTTTTATTTTTATGGATTTTTAGGGGCTGCCCACACTGCCTGTGTTGCTGTAGGTATCAACTCACTTTTTTGTGTTATTTCCGAACTTTTAACTTTCTTTAATTTGATGAAAATTCAACAAAATTCACGAACTATGTAAACAAGTCAACCACACTGTTGCCAGATTGAATCGCGAAAGTTTGAAGCTTGGTTTGAAGTCCCTCCGATTGCTTGAAGTATTTTTCAGAAGCTTCCAGAGAAATTTTACATGACTTTTTTGCATGCAAGTGAGAAAAAATTCATAATTCTATTTCTAAGCCTGAGATCCATTTGTGGATTGTTCTGTTTGATGAAATGACCCTACTCATTATATCCTGAACGTTTGAAGTCCCTTTGATTGCTTGAAGTATTTTCCAGAAGCTTTCAAACGTGATTTAATAGAAATTTTACATGATTTCTTTGCATCTAAGTGAGAAAAAATTCATAATTCCATTTCTTAGCCTGAGATCCATTACGGTTCGTTCTGTTTGATAAAATGACCCTACTCAATATATCCTGAAAGTTTGAATTCCCCCTGATTGCTTGAAATATTTTTCAGAAGCTACCACAGATGATTTACTAACAATTTTGTATGATTTTTTCTCATCTAAAAGAGAAAAAATTCACAATTTCATTTCTGAACTTGAGATCCATTTGCGGTTTGTTCTGTTTGATAAAAATACCCTACTCAATATATTCTGAGAGTTTGAAGTCCCTCTGATTGTTTGAAGTATATTTCAGAAGCTTCCAAAGGTGATTTAACACGTTCGCTGCGACTCAGATTTAGAACGAGGACGCCTAGTGCTAACGAACATTTTTACATAAATCTGAGGTATTTTTTCCAGAAATTTCATTTATAACTGTCCTGAAATAAGTTTCTACAAAAATTAGGGCCAAAAGGGCCATATGAAGTCTAAATAAGTCACGCGCACTGATTACCATAATGGTAACCTAGTGCTGATATAAACACGTACAATCACTATGGTGTAAAATGTAAAATTCACCCGAATACTGCAGAGCTCCAACACTTGAACGCTCAAAAGCACATGGGCGCTATAAATAATTTATTATTCAAGGTAATAGCATCAGATTCCGTCCATCTTTTTACCCCCACATCACAAACTCGACCAAGTGTTGTTTTTTAATTTTTGAATACTTGCGAACACGCTCACGTGAAATAAAGCCGATTGCTGCAGTGCTAACCTTTCGTTCATCCCTTAAAAACATGTTAGACGGATGACTCATTAATAGGTCACAAGCACATGGCAAATACAGCGCATGACTTATTAATGAATCATAAGCAGCGAACGTAATTTTACATGATTTTTTTTGCATCTAAGTGAAAAAATAAATCATAATTCCATCTCTTGGCATGAGATCCATTAGTAAAACCAAATTTCAGCAAATTTTAGAATTTGGCAATATTATGAAAAAAAACTTTAGAAAATTCTTGTTCTCCTAGAACAAACCGCATCTCATTATCTTTTCTCATTTTTGAGATTATTTACTTGCAAAATGTGTCAGTTCCTCAGTCAATTCATCTAGGGACACCCTGTATACACCATGTAACTGGTATTTTCCTCCATTAGAGATCAACTCTCTTTTAAAATGAATTAAATTACAATTTATACAAGTCATCTACTTATCAATATTAATATATTTTGAAATTTGTATTTCCACTGTGTCATTCTTAGAAAATTGAATCTTGTACTTAAACAATAATAATTTTTCTTGGGTAAGGTCAAAACGTAAATAAGAAAAAGTGGGTAAATTTCAATTTTTTCCATATGAAAAATTATTCTCTTGCCAAAATTCTACCTGAATAAAATAGGACAATGAGAATATCTAAATAAAAGAAAACCCCCTAAAGTAAAGAAAATCATGCAGCTGGCTATAAGGTAAAATTTTGTGTTGTTATTTGCAGCTGCTAACCAGTTTATTTAATGAAAACATTAAATATAGACAACCGTAATCATCAGGAAACTTTAGAATTCTGTGATTAATTCAATTAACTGCCCGTTGATTAAATTTTAATAGATTTTCAATCCAAGGCTAATGCTTAAAATCGATTTATTTATTTAATTATCTTGAGAAGTCATCAAGAGGTCACAAACAAGCAACAAACAAAACTTATTATTAGAAGCATTTATACAACAATTTACATACAATTTACTCTAGTTAACATATTAATTGTTTTGAATGTTAACTGAAGTTCAAAGATTAATTTTTGCAAATTTTGAGGAAAAGTACTACAACTTTCACAAATTATTCTCACATACTACTTAGTCAAGGTTGAAACATTTATTATAACTACTAATCCTATAGCTACCTTCATTAATTGTAAATCTTTGCAACAAATAGGAATTATGTTGGGCAAACATAATTTCCAAACATTTTATCACATTAATCATACATTTGGACATTAATTCCAATTAAATAAACACCAATAATAAATATAATACTTATTTAGGTTGGAAAAAAATTAACTAGGTATTTGTCATTAGATTCTAAATCATGATGATTCCACTCCAAGGTTTCGCAAAAATTATCCTGTATGATATTACCAGTGATTTCAAACTTGGCAGTCTGAATTTATTAATAATCATTAATAATTTATGACAATAATTATTGCAGAATCTAATTCAATTTATTCTAATAGAAAAAAAAAATGGCTCCATCTATTCAAAAACCCGCTCCAGCCTTTAAAGGAACCGCTGTGGTCGATGGAGAATTCAAAGAAATCAAATTGGAAGACTACAAAGGTACACTATCTTCAAAAAAATGCCCAATCATTCATTATTATTCTATAGGTCAGTATTTGGTGCTCTTCTTCTACCCATTGGACTTCACTTTTGTATGTCCAACTGAAATTATTGCCTTCTCCGACCGCATTGACGAATTCAAAAAAATCAAATGCAACGTTATAGCGTAAGAAACCAAAACCTATATGCAACCAAAAAAATTAATTAACAAAAACAATTTTTAGTTGTTCCACTGACAGTCACTTTTCCCATTTGGCCTGGACCAACACGCCCCGCAAACAAGGAGGTTTGGGCCAAATGAACATTCCCTTATTGGCTGACAAAAATCTGGAAATTGCCAGAGCCTATGGTGTGTTGGACGAAGTCAGCGGCATTGCTTTCCGTGGTTTGTTCATTATTGACGTTAAGGGCACTATGCGTCAAATGACCATCAACGATCTTCCTGTGGGCCGTTCAGTAGATGAAACTCTTCGTTTGGTGCAAGCTTTCCAATTCACCGATGAACACGGTGAAGTTTGCCCGGCAGGATGGACTCCTGGCAAGAAAACCATCAAACCTGAAGTTGATAAGAGCAAGGAGTACTTCAGCTCTGCTAATTAAGTTTTTATTTTTGTTTGTTTTAAGTTATATTTTCCCTATTTGATTTTGAAATTTATTCCAGTATTTTAAGCCAATATTAAATATTACTAAAGGCACAATTTCAAAAGTCTGAAGATTAAAATATGTATTTGAGTTTAGACAGCTTTTGATTAGAAACAGTAACATGTATTATCTTAATCATTAAATATATTATCTTTGAAATTTTTTATTTTTTTATTTTACAAGCCTTGTTGTTTGGTCTATAGACAAATAAAAACCACTCATACATACTTTTGATATGTAATTAATAAGTAACATTTATTAAAACTGTGAGCAATTTTTTTGTACATACATTAAAGATATGTGGATGTGGTTAAAGCTTTTACAGTAAAAAGAGATTTCTAAAAGCTACTTTTATGCTAAAATATGTTATAAATTCTCTCTAGCAACAATAAAGCTAAAGGTAAAAAATATCAGACTTATATGTTATTGTCGAAATTATTGTTACAAGTCTAATAACTCATTAACCGGGCTAAAAAAAAATAAATTGCTGCTATTTTGCCTCAAGTTTTAAACGTTTCTCTTGTAATACAAAATTATTTCAAAAACGATAACACACTATTGAAAAAAGTATATTATTTCTCTATAAATCAATTACCCAAAAATTCTCAAACTGTTGCTTCAATCTTCCCTCAAATTTGTTTTGGTTGATCTTTGTTCAAAATTTCACGTGAATTCTTCTTTGGATTTTGTAAGCTCGAGTCTTCTTTAGACCACTACCTGATCTGGTTTTACTATAGAAGATGTATTGGTTAGTATGTCTGAGTGATGTTGTCCATTTTCCATCAATTTTCATATTTCTAGGATTTAGGAAGGGAAAAAAAACAAAACAAAAACACGCTTCTCCCTCTATGGCTCTCAGAGCAATATACAATAATAAATAGCCAGGAAAATAAATAGGATATAGTTGTTTTAGGATGTTAGCAAACACAATGTTGCTCATTTATGCAAAACTATCTATTAAACTAAGCTAATAGTTTTATAACTTTATTTTTTCAATAATAAGAAAATCTATGATCTTCTTTTGATGATGGACTATTTAGAATTGTTTTGTTTTGCATCCTGTATTAGTTCCTTATACAGGGTCTTTGTTTTTTGATCTCTTATAGGGGAGTTAAAGAGAATGTAATTTAAATTTCCTTTGCTTCCACATTCGCAATCTGAATTATCCTCTATCTTAATTTTGTATGTGTTCTATAGGGTTAGACAATGATTAGTTCTCATTCTACATGTCATTTTTATACTTTTTCCCGATCTATATTTTATTTTATATCCTACTGAACTATTATAACCATATAATACCTTGGTTACGATAATCATGAACAGGATCTTAACTCCTGCGCGGGAGTTATAAGGATTTCATAACTCCCAAGGGAGTTAAGGATTTCCATAACTCCCGCTTTTACCTTGAATAGGTGAAACTTTGAGAAAAAAGAGAAATTTTCATTTATGGTTTATTCCTTTATAAAAATAGACAGAATAGAGTACCTACATTCAGTACGATATAAAGTTATCTATGTACCTACCACGGGAATTATCAGGTGTCCCCCAGATTTTGTGTCCTAATGGTCAATTAATATCCTCCAAACTCCATGCACTAAATTATTCTCAGATTTGAAGCCGAAATCTATGAAAAAAGGCACTCAGAAAAATTGAAAAATTGATAAATCAACTCAAATTGCTTAACACATATCAGGAACTATAAGTGCAAATGAGCTGAAATTTTCAGGGATTGTAGTCCCTTTATTGAGATAAGATTCAGTGAAAATTTCAGCTTTCTATCTATAATGGAAAAAAAGTTATGCCCTGTTATGCCCTTCCAAAATCTAAATCATAGGGTAGCTACCTTCTTACTAAAACGATAAAATTTCAATTTTTTTTTTGTTGAGGTTTTGTATCCTAATGGTCAATTAACATCCTCCAAACTCCATACACTAAATTATTCTTAGATTTGAAGCCGAAATCTATGAAAAAAGGCTCTCAGAAAAATTGAAAAATTGATAAATCACCCCAAATCCCTTAACACGATTTTTTTTATCTCAGGAACTATAAGTGCAAATGAGCTGAAATTTTCAGGGATTGTAGTCCCTTTATTGAGATAAGATTCAGTGAAAATTTCAGCTTTCTATCTATAATAAAAAAAAAGTTATGCCCTTCCAAAATTTTCGAAAATCTAAATCATAAGGTAGCTAAAACGATGAAATATCCACATTAGTTTAATATTGCCATTAGAGGTCAAAAGTTCTTGTCTTGTACTCAGGGTAATATAGTCACTTTCTCTGCATATTCCCATCTTCGCAATAGCCTGTAGTGCACTCAGTGAGCCCGATACTATAGCCAAACCTTTGGTATGTAATGCTATGTTTCGTACTGCTTCCTGCTTCCTGAATAGCTAGCGTTTCTGCTGTGCAAATTGATGTCGTGTCCCTTGGTCTTCTATAGATGTTTGTGTTATTTCCTTTACAATATATTCCTATACGTACCATATACCAAATGTTGAGGATCCACTGAAGCATCCGTAAATGCTATACTAAGACCATCTAGTTGAGTTGCAGCAATGTATGTACTTGAATCTTTTCTGTTATTACTGTACAAATTTGTTTCTGTGATCTGAATTCTTTTAGTCTGAATGTCGTATGGTAGTTCTGTGTCTTTAAACATAATGTCATGATATTGAACCATATTATCAAATCCCTCCATTATTGCTGGTGTTGGTTTTCTTCGCCAGTAAGGAGGATCTTCATTTGGTAGAAGTTGAGTAATTGTCGTTTTATTTTATCATTGTTCAAGGCTATTATTTTAGACAAAAATTTAGCACCTAACAAATCCTGCGAAGGTCTAGTGGCATTTCCTCTGTTTCTGATAGCAAAGCTTTGATGGATGTGGATCTCATACATCTTGTAATTACCTGCAAAGCCTGGTATTGAATGTTATTTATTTTATTCCAGTTTGCCTTTGATGTTTTAAAAATGCATAATATACCACATTCTAGATGTGATAGAACAACTCCTTTATATATCATCAGTGATACCAGAAAAACTACAAAGTTATTATATATTGCAGTTGATAGGTAGGTATACTGAATTCTCAATAGTGGTCTCTAGCTTTCCTAAACCCATTTTGTAGACTATCAAACACATTATGAGATTCTACAGTGTTTCATTAACTTTCCTACACAGGATGAGAGCATGATTGGTCTATACCTTAAATGATCCGCTAGGTTCTTGCCATATTTTAATATGACTTGGCTTTTCCATTCCTTAAGAATTTGCAATGTTTCATTAAGAATTTTGTCAGATAATAACCACTAATTTCTGTTTGAACTCATTTGGTAAATTTTGCAACATCTTATTGGTCACATCGTCCATTGCTGGGGCTGACTCTCTTTTATTTTGTAGGACAACTTCTGATTCCTCTGTTGTTATTGATTCTATTAGGTCCACATCCTGTAGATTGGCTGTTTGTGTTTTTTTTTTACAAAGAGTTATTCAACCAATTTTCTTTTTCTTGTCTATTGGTTTTTCCATGTATGATCAGTCAAATCTCTTATAGTTTTCCATATGGTTGTGATTGGCGTGCTGCGGTTCAGGTTGCCACAAAAATAACTATTTTATCACCTTTATTAAAGGTACTGCATTGATTTAATAAATTTTCTATAATAATTCTCACTCCGCAACGTGCCTACGTCTTATCACTAAGATAGTGATTTTGTATTATTTTTTTGAAAAGTTGTTGTTTGCAAATACTTATCAGCAATTTATTTTTAAAGTACAAATACAATTACAAAATTAAAGTTATTTTATTAAGCCTACAATAAAACCAAGAAACTTACTTTTCACCTACAATTTGTTTCTTCTAAATTTTGCATCTCACTTCAAACAATAATGAAACTTCCTTTATTTTAAGAATAAAATTATAATTTTTTGTTCAATGAATGGTTGTTTTGGAAAAGCATCAAACTGGAAAGTGAAAGTTTGTCTCTGGAAATACTGTTTCATTACTTTGATGAAAATATCCAAAATTAACAATATCCTTTTGCACTAGACACTATCAATGATTCAGATCTTTTATCATCAGCAGACTAATCAACTTTAAATGTAGATCATGGAATAATCTCGATTTCCATTTATTTTTATAACAAATAACATTTAACAAATAGTTTGTACAAAACTCTTTGACTTTCTACTGTTACATGTTTATACAATTATCGCAAAAAAAAAACAAGTTTTATGCAGAAAAAATATTCAAGCACTAAAAGCTAAAATTTCAACTACTTTTTTGTGTATCTTAGGCCATGCTTGTGTTGCTGATGAAATTACTGGAATACCTGGCACAACAAATTCAAAACTATTTGTTACCTCAATTCATTCAAGTAGTGGATGTAAAACAATAAAACCCAATCAAATGTCCATAAAAAAAGTTATTTAATTTAAATAAAACAATAAATACATAAATAAATAAGTGTTCGTTTTGTTACCTCCAAATCGAATACTGCTTTTAATTAAACCAATTTTTTACTACAATAAAAATCAACCTGACAATGATTAGCAGTATAAGCAGGCCCTCGAATATCTACCTTTGCGTTATAAATGGTAAATTGGGTACCATGCTGCAAGCCAAAACATATAAAATCCCAAAATACAAATTTAATCTTGCAGTTTTCTTTGGGACTCCTTGTATATCGCTAGATCTGAATTCTTTTTCGATTTTGAAAGCTTTTGGCAGGGTGACTAGAGGCAACATAAACCACTTTGAGTATTTTAAGGTAGCTACCATAAACATAATGTAGGGGGTGAACAATAAAAATGCATACAAAACGTGAGAAGCAGTGTGACCTATTATAATAGCTAAAGTAACTATTCCAACCTTTTTGTCCGCTTCTGAATCTCTTGTATTGTTACTATGCAATATAGCTTCAGTATTTAATGCTAGAGGTATAGCATAATAAATTGTGGCCCATTCCACTCGTCCAGTTTGCAAGAGAAAGGCAAATAGCACCGAGATTGGTCCAAAGATAATTAAAATGAGCAAATCTCCTAGGGCTATGTACTTGAAACCTATGCCTCCAGTATACAGGAAGCTTGAAGAAAGTCCACCAAAGTAAACTAAAGCTAAATGTTCAAATTTTGCTGGCGATAATGCTGCTAATAAAATAAATCCTGTACAACCAAAGAAATAAAGTAGCGCTCCTAATGTAACCACTTCTTCTTGAGTTAAAATATGATCCACTAAGATACGATCATCTGATTTTCTATTGTCAATGCCTTTTACATAGTCGTAGTATGTATTTACAACATTTCCAGCACCGTGCACAGATACTATGGTAAATATTGTCACGAGTAATGTAATATAGTTGAAATCTGTAGCTCCAGGATATTTATAGGCAATGGTAGAGCCTAGTAAGGTGGGCATAAGACTGGCACTTAAAGACCAAGGTCTTAAAGCTAATACATAACTTGATACCTTCATAAGTCCTGATTTTTTTCTAAGGGGTTTGGCTGTGTCTTGATTAATGTGCTTTATTTCACCATTGGAAACTTCTTCATTTGGCTTTTTTGAGAGCAGTAGGTCAATTTGTTCTTCTGACATGACTGGGTCGGATTTTGCTTGGGGTGCAATTTACCAAGGATTTGTTGGAAACTGAATAAGATGTGAGTGTTAATTTGTTTTTAAATTATATAATTTTTTGGGTTTTTCAAAGAAAATTTTCCGTTTTTGAGTTTTGTGACAACATAACAAAAGTTTCTAACCTAAAAATTGAAAATGTCACCTTACCTTACTGTGTGGCACAGACGTTGATTATCATTGCTATCTTTGTTTAAAGGTACAAGAAAGAAAAGGACGGAGATATTCTTGAAGCACTAAAACCTAACGGTTTTATAAATAATTTGGTGATAATTTTGGTTGTTTATATTATATTTTTGACCCAAAACAAATTATAATTTTTCCCTGAGAAAATGGAAATTCATAATGAACAACCGGAAAAACCACGCAAAGAAAAACCCCCTCACGTAGTGGTAAAAAATACAGCCGACTATCAACGAATGAAACTGGAAAAATTAATGAAAAACCCTGTAAGTACATGAAAGAACAATAATTTCTCAAAATGTATAATTAATGTATTCCAGGACAAACCAGTATTAATTCCAGAACGACCTAAAGAAAGGGGCTCGCCTCACGTACCAGATTTCGTCCGAAACGTTATGGGTTCAAGTGCAGGAGCTGGTTCAGGGGAATTTCACGTTTACAGACATTTGAGACGAAAAGAGTATGCCAGGCAGAGGTATATGCAAGAAAAAGGTAAAAGAGAGAAGGAAGATGAGGACTACAAAGAAAAACTAGAACAAAACAAACAGCTAGCTGAAGAAAAAACTGCTAAAAAAAGAGCAAAAAGACTCAAGAGGAAAAATAAGCAAAAAGCTGCAGGGAAAAAACCTAAATTAACCAAAAAGGAAACTTCATCTGAGGAGAGTGACGAAGATAGCTCAAATGAGGAAGAACACAGTGAAAAAGAGAAGGCAGTAGAAGAACAAAATACAGAAAAAACTGATGATAAGTTAAAAGAGCAAGATAATCCAGAAATTGTTTCAAATGAAGCTAATAATATAAATACAGATACAAATGAAGAAACAAAACTAAATACAGATTAACATTATAATAATGATTGTAATTAATAAAAATATTATTAACATGTAGTTATTTTGAAATTCAAAAGTGCCGCCAAAATCTTACTAGCAGTGTTGCCAGATATACCATTTAAATGGTATTTTACATTTATACCATTTTTTCTTCCATGATATCTGCAAAAATTTTAAGGCAGTGGATAGAGGTCCGAAAACTCGGATCTCTACTGTTCATACTAAAGATCCGATAATTTTCGGAAGTCCAAGTATCTACAAAGATTCGAGATAAGTCTGTTTCTGCAGAAATCACAAACCAGTCAGAGTGAATTTCATTGGTTGAAACTAATTTTCTGACTGTTTTTGACTATTTTTAACCAATAAAATTTGCTCTGACTGGTTTGTGATTTCTACAGAAACAGACTTATCTGGAATATTATTTTTTGTTAATATTTGCAACGCCATTTTAATGGAACTAGCCCAAGAACCAAATACTACTGCACAAAATCAATTAGAAGAAAAAATAAAAATTATTAAATTTCCTTTGCCCATATAGGAAGACCCAAGGGACATCAATTAACTGCATTTGGACTAAAAAGGTCTAAGAAAAATAAAAGTGTTTTATTCAAAAATGAAGTTCCTAAACTGCTGAGGCACCAGATAATGCTTAATGCAATTTTAAATACAGAAGATTTGGAAAGAAAACATTCCTCATCATCAACAAATTGATCCACTTAATTAATCTACGAGAATCTATTTTAAAAACGGTTACTAAGCTGGTAAATACAGTACTCAACAACGGTATATTCCCACAAGAATTAAAAATAAGTAGAATTACTCCGATATTTAAATCTGGCGATACTGATTGTATGAATAACTATAGGCCAATTTCAATTATAACCGTTTTCTCAAAAATCATTGAAAAAATTATAAAAAAGCGCATGATAACTTTTATAAATGACAACATATGTTTTGATGAGTTCCAATATGGTTTTGTTAAAAATAGTGGCACACTAGGTGCTACTTTTGATTTTGTCAATTATGTCACAAATGCACTAGATAATAAAAAAATTGTTATAGCCGTATTTATCGATTTGAAAAAAGCTTTTGATGTTGTCAGTATCAACATACTTTTAAAAAAAATTGAAAAAAATGGGATTTAAGGGAACTATACAGGGTGGTCCTTCGGGAATGACATCGATTGCTTATGGGAAAACTGTGAAAGGTAAAAATTTGAAAATTTGGCAACATAGCAATGTCGATGGGGGACATCTAGGTAAAATATTTTCAAGATGGCGGCATTTCCGGTCATACCGGAAGTTGATACCAACTCGGTTATTTTAAATAGAACACCCCATATATTAATGTATTTTTGGATTCTACATAAAATTCTGAGCAGATTTCATGTAATATACCCTATACCTAAGTTCAACTGTTTTGGAAATATTGACAGTTGAAAATTGACTTTTTGCAACTTTGACAAGCTGTAAAACCTAATTGGTTAATTTTAGAGGAAAACCGATTTCACATTCCTATCTTAGATTTTTATAAACTATCATTTGACATCAACTTTGAATTAAATCCATGATTAAAAATTTCAGTTAAATTTAATCTCCGTTTAAGTTCCTTAATAAGGTTGCTTGCTTGCTTGTTTTAATGGCGCTGCTACTGAGGCAATTTGCCAGCACGATTTCGTGGCGACCCTGATGTTGTCTGGCTCTAGGCCATATCATAGGTCCCCTATTTGTTTCACTCTTTTCTTCTATCTTCAATTTTTCTTAATGTGAAAGGCACATCCAGGATTTGCCTAGATCAATCGCTGAAACCGGATATAACCTTTTTCTGTCAAAACAAACAGCGTTTTCACGAGTCTCAGACTCTGGCCGCCATTTTGCCAACGTTACCACGCGTGAACCTTCTGTTTATCTAGGAATCTAAGCCGGCTTAGTCAAAAAGACGCAAACAAATCCACGGATGGCGATGAATCTCGGTTTTTACTCGCGGAGGTGAGCCAAAATTTGGTCTCTACACGCCTCTAGTGCACCACCCGGTGAAGCTCTTTGAGCTCCTTAAACCAACCGCCCACACTCTGGCGAGGACAAAACGAGACTGCTTAATAAGGTTACTGCTTGTCTTTATTTGTGTATGGTTAGTGCGAGGCAGTAAACTTCCCTTATATCACATTTCTGACATTCTGAACGACTTTGACGTTTCGCTTTTCAACGATGACGTAATTTTACTTAGAAAATTTATTTTTTACAATAGTTTTCCATTTTATTGTGGGTAACATCAAAAAATGAGTATCAGCAGAAAATCACAAACAAAAATAAACACTTTTTGAGGCTGAAATTTATAAACATAGCTATCAGCTGTCAAAATTATGGATACAAAATAAGGTAATACTCTACCACCTACTACAGTCTTCCAATAACTGTTTTTTTCTTGGAAAAATAGTGCTGATGCACTAATAAAATAACGTAGATCTTTAATACTGCGAGGCAGTATTTAATAGTTCCAATAACTCTCTATTTTCGGGAAGCCCTAACGATAAGTATTCCCTAAACTGACAGTTTTCTATGGAGAAATGTCAGTTTAGAGAATACTTATCGTAATAGGGCACTTTCCAAAATTCACCGGTTTCTGAACCGGCGCGATACCGGTTTAATAGTTTACTTACCAAACTGTTCCAAAATGTACCGACTTTTTACCGGTAGAACCCGATCGTTCGTTCCAAAATTGACCGGAATGATCAGTTGTTTGAAGCCGGTGAGGCACCGAATCCACCGGGAATTTTTGTCGGTTTTTTCGGTTGGAGGTTTTTTGACGTACATTAATTTAATTGCTTTGAATGGGTACTATTGGCAGTCTATCGTTAAATTGCTGCTTGCAGATTGCAGAATAAAAAAATGTTTGTGCGTGGGCGTCATTATGCACTCGACAAATCAAATACTCAGCTCACATAATCTACAAAAATCGTACTGAAAAGTGAAAACTACCGTTTGTTGACTGTTAAAAATAATAAAAATACATACCAACCTCACTGCATCCCACAAAAAAACCCATTCCAAAAAATAATAAGCAACACCACCAAACTTTGACACCAAAGCGTTCCAAAATGCACCAGAAAAATCTTGTAACCGGACTTGCATCTGACTTTTACCGGAATTTTTTGACAGCTACCGGTTTATTTAACCGGTCAATTTATCGGTGAAATTTGGAAAGTGCCCATAGTTTGTGGAAACGGCCATTAGGGCCGGTTTATTCACCTTCTGATAAACTGTCAGGTGTCAGGTATGCAATCTGGGGGCCAATTTTTAACAATATACGTTAAATTGCGTATTCGAAGATTTGCGAACAAAAATAAACGTATACTTATCTATTAACCCATTTTTGACCGGTGTGCGTAAATGGATAAACGTAGATATTGCGAATTCGTAAACATACGTATAATTGATTTGGCAACGTGGGAAATTTTAGAATGTTTGACAAATTTTTGACGTGTTTTTGCCTTTTTGAATTAAATTTGACGAATTGTGGGTGTTTACGATAGTGCTAAATTATGGAAGAAAGCCAGTGACAAAAATTAAAAGAAAAGGGATTCGCATCCCGCCTGTGAAAAGCAAAAGAAACTTGTGAAGTATGTGAAAAGCAAGCTACAGCTAATCCGGTTGATAGCTACCGCTTGCGAAAAATTTCAACGCGTAATCAAGACCCACCGCATTAAACTAACTGTATAACAAACATTGCAAAACAACCTTCTAAATAACATTCATTTCCTACTTTAGTCAAGACATCTGAATCTGTTGGTCGTTGTGCCAGACGTGTATGAGGTTCGAGGTTCTAAACATTCAACCAAATATCTAACAAGCTCTTTCGACAATCAGAAAATAATAAACAGGATGTTTATTTGTAATTTGTACTGTAATTTGTACTGCTTCAAGCAGATCTCAGCAGCAGATCAGCGTTCACCTGTCTCATATAAGCTCATAAATAGCAGATCTTCCTAATTTTTCGAGCAGGTAGAACAAGCAACACCCTTTAATAAACTGTCTTTGGGTCGGTTTCTCAATAGCAAGTCACCCCCGGGTTAAGCATAACTCCAGGGTGAACATTGCAACTGGACACGTTTAACCTGGAGTTAAAACCAACCCGGAGGTGACTCGCTATTGAGAAACAGGCCCTTTGGTTTAGCTCTACGAATGGATTGCGGCGGTTATGTCGATGGTTGCGTCGATTTCGTGTCTCTGCGTTTTCCAAATAACGAATTGCCAGCACATTCATCAAGTTTTCCATATTATAGTAGATACACTTTGTAATCAAGAATACGAGACGATAGAGCACATTCTCTGTGACTGCACTGCTCTTTCGCCAATACTCATCGCCAGTTTAGGCCAATCGTACCAATCACTAGAAGAGATCTGAGGCACCGCCTTCGACGACGTCATCGCCTACGTAGAATCGCTAGGCTGAGTGACGAGCTAATGATGACCTCTCCTCTTGTGGAGGCGCACAATGGGCATAATTGTGGCCTAAGTGCTGTAGCATACCTTATATACCACCCTCCCAGATACAGAGGTAGTAGATACACAATAATCCAATAATAAAATCGCTATCAAACAAATTGACAAACAAAAACAACCTACATCCCCACTTGACACAAGAAAAACGAATACGCAAACCGAATAAGGCCACTAGAATACCGCTCGCAGAAAAGCGAATGAAAATATGCGCATACGAAACTTTGCGAACGGCCAAAAATCAGAACTTGTAGCTGTTCGCAGATTTAGGAACAATCTACATACGTTTCTATATTTGCGAACGGTCAAAAATTGACCACCTGAACGATAAAAATGCAATATCTTATCCCATTGGTTGGCCAGCTATGCGCCGACCAATAGATTTATAGAACGGTAAATTTATCTTGCCGATAATTACCCGCAAGTTTATCTGAATATAAATAAACCGGGCCTAATAAATATAAAAATCGAAAAAACAAAATACGAAATTTTAGGTAAATTGGTGTTTGCATACTTTTGCATTAGCTTTATTCATAAATCCTCATATGACAATATCTGAGCTATAACATTTTCAATGGACAGCAGGGCTAGATCTTGAAGGTTTCTTTATTCTGCTAGAGTTGACCGCTAAGGTAGGTTTCAATTACCTTAAGCTTACTAAAGCTCCGTTCACCTTTCGGCACTGTAACAGGAATGGTAACAAAAATACGGACAGCTGTCCAGATATAAGGAAACGTATCTTGCCAATTATTAAATGCTAACGCAGGACTGTTTTCAGGTGACCGTTATCACTATCCGAAATATCGTGATCAAATGCTCGAGTAAGGGCGCCACCACACCCACGATCCGTGCGCGTCTCAAAAAAACGTCAGGACAGGTTATTCACATACTAAGTAAGCACAAGCTTGCTCACAAGCAGAAAAGCAAAATATCGAAAAGCAGAGACAGAAGTCAAAGCGATAATATATTTTTCCCTTTTTTTTATTACCAAGGAACAAGTCGAAGGCGCCCCCCGAGGTCTGGCGCCTGGAGCGCTCGCTCAGTTCGCCTTATGGTAGGGCCGGCCCTGCTTTAGTATGAACACTAGAGATCCGAATTTTCAGACCTCTATCCACTGCCAAATTTTAAGGATACCATTTTCCATTTTTCTACCATTTTTCGATGAAAGTTACCATTTTTTGCATATACCATTTTCAACAATTATTATGCTCTTTGTTCCGGTGATGTTTAGTTGTTTTATCGAATGACTTATATTTTTCCTTTTTGCTGTTATTTTTTTGTTGTTAGATTTGTGTTAAAATCCTTTGAATTGCAATAAAATACAGACAGCGTGGTTTTGAAACGTTCTTGGGACGGTTTTCGACGTGTTTTTCAGACCTTCAGAAATACAGATAGTAAAATATAACAATAAACCCCCTTCACCCTTTAGAATTTAGGATACCATTTTTTGTGTGTGAAATACCATTTTTTTAAATGACCCGTACCATTTTTTATTTTTTCCATCTGGCAACACTGCTTACAGGTGACAATGAAAATTAACGTTAACCTCAAACAAAAAAATAAACAAACAATTTATTTCCCAGATTAGAGGAATTTTATATTTAATTATGGAAATGTAAGAAATTAAAATCAATAAAGCTATTTACTTAATGTATTTTTTTAGTGTCAACTCTAATTCGGCTTCTCTGAGCAACTATGAAGTGCTAAAGCATTTACAAAAAATCAAAGAAAGCAAAATCAAACACGGAGGCCAATTGGCAACTATAACTTACGAGGTATAATTATTAATGTTTAACTACCAAAATTCTACATTTTATTTTAGACTTTACACTATCTGGAAGAAGCCCAATGCAAAAATCAAACAGCTGAAAGTATAGCTGCTTGTATAAAGGACTTGGAACCATTTAATTTGAATAAAAGTGAAAAACTAATGCTGGTGAATACACCTCCAACAACAGCATTAGAAATTCAATTAGTGAGTCATAAACATAAACATATTTTAAATTTTATTTAGAGCCAATTTTTTTTTAGATGATAGAAGAAAGTGAGGATAGATTAACAGAAGAACAAGTACAGCAAATATTAAATATACTTGTGCAGCATTTTCCTCATATAGCTCCTGCAAAACAAGATGACAATCAAGAAGAGGAAGAAGAAGAAGAAAACTCAGATTAAATTTAGCTTTTATATTCAATAAATTAGTAAAACGTTCTATCTCTTTTGATCTCCCAAGTCTTCAATTAGATCTTCATCAATCTGAAATTAAAATAATTGTAATATTTTGATACAAAGCAAAAAACTGTTCGCTTACTTCAGGCCATTTTTCAGGAATAACATCAAACAAATCATCTTTAACATCCCCTTGAATAACTATTTCATCTTCTCCAGTAACTGAAGAGCCACAAGCAAATCTTTGTCCGAAAAATTTAGCTGCTACCTTGAGATCAATTTCTAAAAATAAATATTGAGCAGGATGTTTATTGAGCTTAGCAAATCTATACCAAAAGTACTAAGGCCTGTGACAACAGTAACAGACTTCTTTTTGCCTCTGGGAGCCCTAGAAACGCACACTTGCTTAGGCCCTTCTTCCTTCTTTTTAGTTTTGATGATTCCCTTACCGCCTCGCTTTTGGCGTTTCTTTTCTTCGTCCCCTGCAGGAGAATCGCTACCGTCACCTATTTTTACCTTTTCGAATTCCCTAGGGAGATTTTTCTCTAGCCATTGCTTACATTTCTCATATTCGGGATAATACTCGCAGTACTAGAAATTCGGGATTGATTTTTTTGTGTGTGATGAGGTTTTTTGACTTACCTCTATAGGCATTGTGCAGTTACCGCAATAGACCACTTGAACAGGATAATTTACCGATTCTCGAGGCCCCGTTTTTAGTTTATTTTCTTGTGCCATCTTGTAAGAAAAAAAAATATTAAATTAAAAATTTATCTACTTTTGAGGATTTTCAAAAAATATCCTAACCTTAGTTTTTGAGTTTGACAAAATACCTTTTCGGATTTGCCAATCGGATCAACAACTGTTTGTATTCTATCCTTCTTCAATGAACACGATTAAAAAAAGACAGCAGCTGCTTATAGGGTTTATCAAATCAACATTTTAGAAAACGCCACCCGAAATTTGGCAACGTCGTTTATTGGTTTTATAACCTCATAATTTTTTTGAAAAATATCCAACAGAATCTCTACTAAATTTAAATTGTTCAAATTGGTGTTTTACAATGAAAAAGCTCACAACTAACAAAGTAAGTCATTATTTATTATAATCTTTACCCAACCCAATTTAATAATATTTTTTTCAGTGGAAATCTTTTGAATTTGGCCCCCCTGAAAAAGACACCAAAGAAAACCAATCTACAACTAGGAAACTGAAAAATCTACAGCCTAAAAAATCTCTTAAATCTGTAAAGGGCTCTAAAACAAATAACAATTTGGATTTTCACAAGATTATAGAACCAAAAGTTGTATCAGATCTTATAATTCACCCAAAGAAAGTCCAAGAATTGGAAGGATGGTTGAACACCGTTCTAGGAGGCTCAAAAAAGGTAAAAACTTCCAATTTGAACTTTCGTTTACTTTCAACAGATCCAATATTTTGTACTTAGTTTCATGTTTTGTACAATGTATTGTCCAATGGATGTCCAGAATTTGTCCATAGGGCTTTCAATGGACAGTCGAACAACACACTCGTGGAAGTTTATTTAGAGTCCATTGTTTGTTCAGTAGCATACATTATTTGGATTTTTTCGGGACGTTCCCTGGAAGTCCATTTTTGGTCTAGCAATGTATATTACTTGGATGAATTTTGGACATTCCCAGTATCTAAATGAGATTGTAGTCCTCTACTAGGATAAGAATTGCTGAAAATTTCAGCTTTGTATCTTTAATAGAAAAAAAGTTATGACCTTCCAAAATTTTCCAAAATCTAAATCATAAGGTACGTACTAAGGTACTAAATGGATGAAATTTAAATTTTTTTTTTGTTGAGATTTTGTATCCTAATGGTCATTTGGGATCCCACAAACTCCATACACTAAATTATTCTCAGATTTGGAGCCGAAATCTATAAAAAAAGGCACTCAGAAAAATTGAAAAATTGATAAATCACCCCAAATTGCTTAACACGATTTTATCTCAGGAACTATAAGTCCAAATGAGTTGAAATTTTCAGGGATTATAGTCCTCTACTCGAGGGGTCAACCACTTGCCGAAATACGTGTACACTTGGCCCGAATTACCTTCGAAGTACCTAGAAATACCGTGAAGTACCTCGAAATACCAGGTATTCCCGTCGAAGTACGCGAAATCCCATGGAATTACCGTCGAAGTACCCGAAATACCCTCGAATTACCGCGCGAAGTCTCGCAATACTTCTAAAAAAATTCTTGTTTATACCGATTCTTGTGGATCGCATTGAAAAATGTTTGCTCGGATTTTTGTGTCTTTTGATATGATGAATTTTATTCACACACACAAACAACAAATAAATCAATAGTTGCAGGAATAAGAATAAAACATTAAAATAAAATAAAAACAGCTATCGGAATATCAGATATTTTCAACAGAATGCATGTGAAAAAGTGCGACGTCTCCAAAAATCATACAAAAAACCTCGCAAAAAACAGACTATTCTATCCTCATCCATGGTATAACTCTTTGGTTTTTGGTTCAAATGATTTTTTGATACCATTTTTGAGTTCTCCAGAAAAAATGTTCCAATTGGCTATTTTCAATTTTCTCAAAAATACAGGGAAAGTTAAAAATTATATTCTGTCAACCCCTGTTCAGTCCTCGTTAGATGACCGATGACCTTGCAATAACCCGCCAACAAGTTGGGGCTGCGATCTTAGAAGCGCAGTCACGAAATTTATTACATAATGTTCAACAACTCGCGGAGGAAAACCCTCAGCCGCAGAACGAGCACGGCTGGGAGACCGTCAAACCAAGAAAACGTAGACGTTTTGTGGTTGGGAAAAACGAAAATGTCAGTGAAGTACAGGGAATGCCCAGGCATGTATCTCTACACGTGACACGATTAAGTCCTTCCACGAAGCCAGAGGACCTAAGAAAAATGCTACTGAAGCACTTCCCAGAAGTTACCTGTGAAAGCCACACTTCTAAGCATCCAACGCTATATGCATCAATGAAAGTCACAATTAATCAGGAGCACTTCCGGGATGCATGGAGAAGAGAAATCTGGCCCAATGGAGCCTTGGTCTCGTGTTTTTTATGGAAAAGGAGGAGCCTGTCACAGTCACAGGAGACAGCCTCCTAAGTAACTTGCTCAGTAGCAATGTAACATTACAACCTCCTACAAGGGCTTCCTTTTGTAACGTATATTATCAAAATGTAAGAGGTCTGAGAACGAAAACTGGAGACTTCTATGTAAACCTACTATCGGAGGACTACGACATAATAGGTTTAACAGAAAACTGGCTTTGTGAAGGTATTCATACTTCAGAATTATTTGATGACAGATATGCTGTTGTGCGGAGAGACAGGAATAATACAGCTACGCGTGGCGGCGGAGTGCTGCTGGCATTCAACAAGAAAATGTCCTATGAAATTATAGACTCCAAGGGCTGTGATACTGAATGTGTTATTGTAAAATTGAGGTATAGGAAAATTACTTATTATGTGTCTGTAGTTTATTTTCAACCTAATTCTAAGTTAAACTTGTACATTGAATATTTTAATCTATTTGAAAATATCTTAAATGAACTAAACCATGTTATAATTTTAGGAGATTTCAATTTGCCATTTTACATGAGCTGTGATAATGATAAGAGTATTTTATTGCACGAGTTTCTAAGCTTTAACAATCTAGTTCAATATAATGATATTAAAAATTCTAGGGGCAGGTACCTGGATCTACTGATATCCAACTTTAGTCTGGGAGATTTGCATAGGGTTGAAAATACGTTAGTTCCCGAGGACCCCTACCATCCGGCAATTGAATTTCACATCCCTCTAAAACACTCAACGTATGCCAAAGATACAATAAAGAAACAGTATTCATATGACTACAGAAAAGGTAACTTTCTCTTGCTATATCAGTTGGTAAAAGATTGCAATTGGTCCGATCTCATTGAATGTGTAAATGTTAATGACTGCCTTGATCTGTTCTATAAAATGATGTATTCTATTTTTGATCAAGCCATACCAAGGCATGTGGTAAGAGAAACTGCACATGAACCCAAATATCCATGCTGGTTTTCTCTTGACTTGGTGCGTAAAATAAGAAATAAAAATAAATTACACAAACTTATACAAAAAAATAAAGCAAATTCTGTGCAAAAAAATCTGTACAATGCACTGAGAAAAGACCCAAAACATCAAATAAAAAGTGAAGAAAAATTGCACAGACAAAGTATTAAAGCAAACATTATTCAAGATCCTAACGCTTTCTGGCATTTTATACGCTCCAAGTCAAAACCAAGCGGATTGCCGGGGGAAATGCGGTTCGAGGGCTCAGCGTACAGCACTCCTGGAGACATTGCGAATGCTTTTGCACAGTTCTTTAAATCTGTTTTCCAGGTCTCAGATATTCCTGGCAGCTACAAGGCAGCCACGGATGCATCTCTATTCAGTCTACCTCCAGTAACTGAGTTTGATGTTCTTGATGCGATTAAAAAACTAAAACCTAAAAAGTCAACAGGCCCAGACAACATACCTGCCTATATATACAAGGGTCTTGCCGATTTTATGATGAAACCTTTGGCACATATTTTCAATATTTCCATCACAAGTACACAATTTCCTGAAGCATTTAAAACAGCTCTGGTTACACCCATTCATAAAAACGGTAATGTGAATGAAATCAGCAATTACAGACCAATAAGCTTAATCAACGTAATAGCAAAGATATTTGAACAAATCCTATGTACCAAATTAACAAGCGCTCTAAAGCCAAAAATTTCTAAATTTCAGCATGGTTTTGTGACTGATAAAACTACTGTTTCAAACCTTTGTGTGCTATCTGAACGTGCTTCTGAGGCAATAAAAAATAAAAAACAATTAGACGTCATCTATACCGACTGTGAGAAAGCCTTTGACAAGGTCGATCATGGGCTGCTTCTGGATCGACTAGTTTCTATGGGAATATCATACTCCACCTTTATGTTCCTAAAATCATATCTGCTGAATTGGGTTCTGAAGGTAAAGATAGGCAAGACTACCTCAAGCAAGTACGTGGCCACCTCAGGAGTGCCTCAGGGTAGCACCTTAGGCCCACTGTTGTTTGCTTTGTTCATTAACCCCCTCCCTGGCTGCCTTACTGAGTCATCGGGACTGCTTTTTGCGGATGATTTCAAATTTTTCAAGGAAATATCTTCACCTCAGAATTGCTTCTTGCTCCAGGGGGATGTGAATGATGTCAATTGTTGGTTTAGGGAGAACAAAATGTCATTAAATGTGAAAAAGTGCTCAGTCATGACTTTCTCACGAAAAAACAACATTATTGGGTATGACTATGCTATTAATGGGGTCAATTTAGAACGAAAGAGTGAAATCAAAGATTTGGGAGTTGTCTTTCGGAGCGATGTGAGATTCAATTCCCATTTTATTGGAATGGTCAATAGGGCTTATAAATCTTTGGGATTCATTATCAGAAATGGAAAGTCCTTTGAGTTGGGAACGATTGTTAGACTTTATCATGCTCTAGTGAGACCACATCTAGAATATGCTGCCCAGGTTTGGATGCCCACAGCCCACACGCATGTGGACCATATAGAAAAAGTTCAAAAGAGGTTCTTGAGATACCTTTATGTCAGGAAAAATAACATATATCCTTATATGGTTTCATATAGAAGCATGCTTGAGGGCTTTGGGTTTCAGAGTTTGCAGGATAGAAGAGATAAACAGGCTGTGATATTTGTATTCTACCTTCTGAATTATATAAAGTATAAAGACTGTGATTTAACTAAATATATACACATTAACGTTCCTAAAATTAATTTAAGAAACTTAAACTACGAGCTTTTTAGTGTAGATCTAGTCAGTACATCACCCATAAATACAATGTTATTAATATGCAATAGAGTACTCGCCCGAGTCAACATAGATATATTTTTCACAAGTATCAGAGAATTACAGATGATATAAGTAAATCCTAGTGCTGTGAATGTCTGTTTGTTTGTTTAGTTTAATTTTGGTCTAGTATAGTATAGTTTTTTTTTTCTTGTTAAGTTGTTTTTAACCATTACCTATAATTACCTCATCGGTGTTTGTAATGTGAACCATAAATAAATAAATAAATAAATATTTAACATTGATTACTTATACATATCAGCTAGAATATCTTTCCATTTGTTTCAATCAATCTGCAGTAAATCCAAATTATGTCAACATATTTAGCCCTCCATTTAATCTGTTCGAAAATGGACTATAATTTTCATTCTATAATATTTCAATTTCACATGATTAGGCGAAAGAATTAATTGTTCAAGCTTGGTTCGACCAAGATCAGGATTTCTAAGGATTTGACAAAATTGCAACAGGAGACTCATAAGAAGATTAGGGATGAATACCAGGATCGTGTAAAAAAAGGCGAATCAGTCGCTCTGAAATACAGAAATGGGTTTCCTATTATTGAAATTAAAGCCCAAACAACAGGTACTGGACCTGATCCAAAAAACACCCCTGCACCCCATTAACTGTATTCTATATGAACACAGGAGGTCTTTGCACAAAGATTTAAGACCTCACTAATATGTTGAACTGTTCGGATTACGATATATTGGTAATAATAGAAAGTAATCTCTGTGATAGTATTACTGATGGTGAAATACAATGTGATAAATATAATAGCTTCCGTTTTGATAGATCTAGTGAAACCAGCATGAAAAGTAGGGGTGGGGGAGTCCTCATATATGCTGGAATAGCTATTTACCTAACAAGTGCGGAAAATGAATTTTTCCGCACGCGGCTGTCGTGCACCGAACGACGCGTCGTTCGGTGCACAGCAGCCGCGTGCGGAAAAATATTTTCCGCAAGTGTTAGGTACAATATTTTTCCTACAGGCGAAAAAATGTAAAATTTTTCTTTTTTTTTGACATATCAGTGCGGTAAAATTTTTTCCGCACTGACAGCCGTGCGGAAAAACTTTTTCCGCACTGATATGTCAAAAAAAAAAAAGTTTTACCGCACCGTGCGGGAAAACTCATTTTCCGCACGCATATCAGTGCGGAAAATCGATTTTTCCGTACGGCTGTAGGAAAAATACTTTTCCTACGAGCGTGCGCAAAGTAGTACTTTTCCGCACGCATTTCGGTTCTCAAAGTTGCACTTTTCCGCACTCAGTGCGGATACAGGCCTTATCCGCACTGAGTGCCGAAAAGTAAAAATAATTGTCAAGCAACAATAAGTGCACCTGTCGACGTTGACACATGATGACAAATTTTTCCTCTGTTTCTATATCAGCCAACATCTATACAAACACCAAATTTAATTAACTTTGACTTTGTTCTCTATTGATATGCAAGAATTTACAAACTTTCTCATCAAATTTGAACGTTTTAAGATAAAGGGCTCTGACGATGATTTTCTGTTATTTTTTTTTTCTTCTTATGTAATTTTTTGATAACTGCATAGGTTCGCTTCAAGTTAATTAAAAATAATTGAACAAATTATTGTTTTTTTTTTCTAAATTTTGGTTGTTACCTACCTGATATGAAGCTCGTAGGAAAAATTTAGTTCCTAACACGTGCGCAAAGTGTCTTTTCCGCACGTAACACTTATCCGAACTCCGCTTCGCGTCGTTCGTATAACTGTGTTTGCGTGCGGAAAAGTAACACTTTGCGCACTTGTTAGGAAAATAACTATATCAGCATCCATTGTACCAGTGGGCCAAAATAAAATTGAACAGCTGTTTATTGTGTTTAATATTGGGTCAGAATGTTTTATAATTGGCGGCGTATATATTCCTCCCAATCAACATAATGACATCTATGATATGCACTGCAGGTCTGTCCAACCTATATTACAGTGCTATCCAAACAGTAAATTACTGCTCTTTGGTGACTATAACTTACCCGAGGCAGTGTGGGTGAATGATGATTATGGTGTTAATGTGGAGTGCCCTGCAAATTCAAATGCACTGACTGTTGCTGCATCTTTTGGGTTTTTGAAGCTGTTCCAGGTGAATACTATTCCAAATGACAGAAGTGTTTTCTTGGACCTGGCTTTTACTAATATTGGTAATTTAGTGGTTAATAAGGCAAGTGATCCGATATTTGATAACAGTTATCACCACATTTCTTATGACTGTAAGGTTATGACTAAGGAAGCTCCTGATAAAAAGTTAGTTGTTGATAACTTCTACTATGATTTCAAAAATTGTAATTATGTAGGTTTAAACAATTATTTAGCTTCTATACAATGGGTAGAAATTTTAGCAAACAAAAATATTAATAGGGCGACTTCTATCTTTTATGAGATCATTAACAAGGCCATTGTAAATTATGTACCTTTAAAAAAATCAAAAACTAATACCTTTCCAAAATGGTTCTCGCCTGAGCTTAAACAACTGACATTTAGGAAGAGAAATGCCCACAAAAAATATATGAATGATATGACTGATGTTAAGTATCAAGAGTTCTCTCTTCTTAGGTCTCAATGCAAGTTGCTCTCTAATCAAATGAGAACCCAGTACATGGGAGTTGTAAGTGACAGCTGTAAGGCAAACCCTAAATATTTTTGGAAATTTATTAGAGACCAGAAAGGAACATACGATTTGCCTTCAAAGATGGTTTATGATGATCAGCTGTTGAGTGAGGGGCAAGGCATAGCTAGTGCTTTTGGGGAGTACTTTTCCACAGTTTACTCACCAAGTTCATCGTTCAGTCTTCCTAAAACAGAAAATTGTTATCCTAACAACAATATCACTTGGCACTCATTTACTAAGGAGGCCATTTTTGGGGGAATAGCGAGCCTCTCTGACAGAGTCACAGTAGGGCCTGATGGAGTTCCAGAATTGCTATTGAAGAGGTGTGTTTGCACATTAACCACACCTATTACTATACTGTTCAATCTCTCTCTTAATAGTTCAGAATATCCAGATGTATGGAAAAATAGCTACTTGTTCCCAATTTTTAAAACTGGCAATAAGCAAATCATTAAAAATTATAGAAGTATTTGTACCCAATCTGTGATTCCAAAATTGCTAGATGAATTGATATGCAAACAATTGACATGGGCCTGCCGGGGGCTGTTAGATGAGGCTCAGCACGGATTTACCAAAGGCAGATCCACTACCACAAACTTGGTTTCATACCAGTCATCACTGCTGAGGGCCTTGGAAGACAAAAAACAAGTTGATGCTATATATACTGACTTTTCTAAGGCCTTCGACAGTGTTGATCATGGTTTATTGTTTGATAAGTTATATAAATTTGGTTTTCACCAGGATATAGTAAAGTGGTTCCGTAGTTCCTTCACTGGTCGAGTTCAAAAAGTAAAAATAGGTTCATTCCTATCTGAGAATATTATGGCAACATCTGGGGTGCCCCAGGGGGGACACTGCTCGCCATTACTTTTTAACATATTCATCAATGATATCACAAAAAACTTTTTGCATAGTGTACCTGCAGCATTTGCTGATGACTTTAAAATTTTTCGAGTCATTAACAGTATGTATGACGCAAATTTATTACAGGAAGACTTAAATCGTCTTGTTGCTTGGTGTGACATCAATAAATTGAAGCTCAATGTTGATAAGTGTTTTACAATTAGTTTTTTCAGATTCAATAAAAAGGTAAATTCACTTTATTATATTAAAGACAGGCAAATCAGTTATACATCCAAAGTAAAAGATCTTGGTGTAATTTTCGATCAAGAGCTCAAATTTGTAGACCATATAAATAATTTGATAGTACAGTCCTCCAAATTGTTAGGTTTTGTCATCAGGAATTTATCGGTGTCCTCTGCCAAGTGTGTGTATTCTAGTATAGTAAGGTCAAAGTTAGAGTATAACTGTATAGTGTGGTCACCTTATCACCAAATTTATAAGGTTTCAATTGAGAGAGTTCAGAGCAGGTTTTTGGGTTTTTGTGCTTTTCGCATGGGGGTTCAAATTTTTGATCATGAATATGACTACATATGCAATATGCTAAATTTGGACTCTCTTGAGCTTCTAAGGTTGAAAATTGGAATGCGCTTCATTTTTGATCTTCTAAATTTTAATATAGACTGTCCTCAGCTTCTAGAGCAAATAAAGTTTCGCATTCCAAATAGAAACCTCAGACATAACAATTTATTTTTTGTTGATTATCACAGAACTGATTTTGGTCTGAACTCTCCCATGTGCAGGTATATTTCTTTAATTAATAAGCACAACTTGGAAGTTACAGGGATATCTAAAAGTAGATTTATTAGTCTAATTAATAAATGTGATCTATTATAGGTTGAAAAAAAATATATATTTATATTCTTTTTCTAGGGATTTTTGTTGTTGTTGTAATTTTACTAATTTAGTTACATTGGTTGTTAGTACTAATACTATTGCTGGCTAACCTTAATATTATTGTTAAATTTTGTAAAACTATTACATTAATGAGATTTTGTATCCTAATGGTCATTCGGGATCCCACAAACTCCATACACTGAATTTTTCTCAGATTTGAAGCCAAAATCTATAAAAAAAGGCACTCAGAAAAATTGAATAATTGGTAAATCACCCCAAATTGCTTAACACGATTTTATCTCAGGAACTATAAGTCCAAATGAGCAGGGATTGTAGTCCTTTACTGGGACAAGAATCGCTGCAAATTTCAGATTTCTATCCATAATAGAAATAAAGATATGATTTTTCAAAAATCAAAAGGTTCTAAAATGACGACATTTCAAATTTTTATGTTCAGATTTTATGTTTAAATCATTATTTTGGACCCCCAAAACTCCATACACTAAATTATTAATAGATTTAAAGCCGAGATCCTCGAAAAATTGAAAAATTCAAATACATAATTGATTTGCATGTTTTTTCTTTTACAGAACTTCACAGAATTCTTACTGCTCTCAGGTCCTACAGGAAGCGGAAAAACTTCAACCGTCCGCCTACTTTGTAAACAATTAAATGTAGATGTCACAGAATGGACAAATCCTGTAGACTTAGATTACGAGATAATTAGAGGCCCTGGCCAAGCTGCAAAGTTTCTAGAATTTTTCTCTGACTCGAAATACCCATCCTTATTCAGCACAAACAAGAAAAAAGTGCTTATCGTTAAAGATTTTCCCAACGCTATTGTGAGAAATCCTGATGAGTTTTTCAGCATTTTGGAGTAAAACATTTCAATTCAAAAATTATCTATAATACAAAAATTTATTTTAGGGATGTACACTTTCAAACAACACACCCAGTAATATTTATTTGTACCGATTCCAACAGTAATGAAACAAATTTACAAAGAAATTTATTCCCTGAAGAAGTTTTACTCAAATATTCCATAAGTAATATAACTTTCAACTCCTGTGCACCAACTTTACTCAAAAAAGGCCTAAAAAGAGCCCTAGAACTTCTACAAGCCTATCCTGACACATTCACTTTGCCTCTAAATATCATAGAATCAATTATAGCCTCTTCTATGGGCGATATACGTTGTGCCATGAATCAGCTATATTTAGCTAGTATTCATGCAGAGACAAATTTGCCCCTCATCAAAATCATTGGCTCAAAACGCAAGAAAAATGACCAACCAAATACAATCAAACATATGAGGAGAGATGAAACTCTGGGACTTTTTCACGGACTAGGCAGAGTCTTAAATCCAAAAAAAATCGAACAAAATGGCACTTGGAGATTGAATTGCGACATGCAAAAACTAGTAGACGAATTCACAATTCAACCAGCCAAATTCGCTTCGTTTTTGTTTGAGAATTACTTGAAATACTTTGGCGATTTGGAAGATATTGAACAAGCAGCTGAAATTTTGAGTTTTTCCCACAAACTTTTGGAAAACTGGGATTCGGGCGAGACACTTACAATTGCCCTGTGGATAGCTGTATTGGGACTTATGGTGTGCAACCAACATAAAGTTAGCAGATGGAATCAGATCAAAGGACCGAAGAAAATTGAAAAAGAAGTGTAAGTGGTTGTTAGTTGGTTGTGATATTTTGTTATTAAGTTTTGGAATTTTTACTAGGTGTGATAATGATGTGTTTAGGCTCCATCCCTCTGACAGATACTATTATAATTTAATTACAAAATCTGATAAGTATCATAAATTCAAATGTGGAACCTAGAAAGGGTTTTTGTTGTATTTTTTTATATTATTAATAAATTATTTTTCTTTTCCAATTATTAGCTGAAGTTTGATGAGGAACTGAGTTTCATACTGTTATCATTTTATTGATTACTATATCACAGTATTTCCATCCCAGGAATATTTCTCTAAAATCCTCATAATAAAAATCTCCTCTTAGTTATCTTTGACATACTTTCAGGACTAAAATCTACAAATAAAATCACAACTAATAATTTCAATTATTAAGCTTTATTGTAACTAACAATAACCTACACGAAAGCATAATATTTTTATAAGTGCATATTTTCAACAAAAGCAATACATTAAAAATAGTTATTAAGGGAATGCAACAATAGATTTAAAAAAACAAACAATATTCTAACATAATAATGCTCTATAATACACATAATGAAAGTGTGTGTGCGGCCCAAACAGAACCGAAAAAATAATACTTTCATTTTAAAACTAATTATTAGAGTAATTTTACACAATATTATATAATGCAGGATCAATTTAATTTTGATAAATATAAGTTATTGTTCCTTTTTGTTGTTGGTCATTGCTTGGTTGTAGCTTGGTGGATTTTCCTAAAGGATAATAATTATGTATAAATATAATAATTATTTTATTGTTACTTACATAATAAGCTGGAGGTGGTACATATGCCATCTGAGGCCTATTAGGATCATAATAAGCAGATTGGGCAGCTTCAGCTGCTTTAGCATCTGGAATACAATAATAATAATTGTGCCCTGTAAAAAAATCATTCTTACCAGAAGGATTAGTGAATCCTGAAGCTCCAGAAGGGGCGGATGGTCCATAACCTGAAGCTCCTTGTGGTGGTCCATATCCATTGGGTTGTCCACCAGGATAAATTCCTGGATACGGTGGTGGGTTATCGGTCATAAACACGCCATCGGTGGGCGGTTGTTGAGGGAAAACGTTGGTGGGTGGCACCCAACCGTAATAGCCTGAATAATACAAAATTTTATTTTAAAATAAAATTATAGAGGAAATTCTTGCCTTGGGGTGGTGGGGCATAAGCTGGAGGTGGAGCGGCATACCATTGCGGTTGGGGCGGTACGTAGGGAGGCGGTGCATTGTTCATTGCTCCTCTAGTAGCTGAAATCAAATAATTTTGTTTATTATACAGGGTAGTCCAACAAGCACGCCTCGGTCAATAGTATCCAAACCGTTGAACCTATGGAAAAATGTTCTGTATAAAAGTTTTAGCATTTTATCTATACTATAACCCAAAATTATTTTCGAATATACAGGGTGTCTCAAAAAAGAGTGTTCACAAATTTTGTGTTTGTTTTTTAATGGAATACCATATGTTTTTATGTGCTCTGTATTCAACTTTAAAATAGTATTTGATTTTCAAAGAAAAAAATAGACCAAAATTTATTTTTTTTAAATTATCATATCTCCGCCACTGTACAGTTGCGATAAAAAAAAAAGTAGTACAAAAATTATCAACTCCAATTTGAGCTCCCGGTGTAACATACAAAATGTCGACAGTAAATAAACAGGCAATGACATATTCTAGGTTAAAAATGGGTGGAAAAATGCCAAAAATATGTCATTTTTGGTTATGAATTAAATTAATGTATAATAGACCAGGAGATTTTGGAGATTTTTCTTGTACTACTTTTTTTTGATCGCAACTGTACATTAATTTCCCTCAAAAATTTACATGTAATAAATAAATAAATAAATAAATAAGCCCAACAGGTAAAACCCACTTACAGGAAATTCATTAAAAATAATAGTGTAAGAAAAAGAACAAAATTAAACCTAAACTAAACTAAATGTAATCTAATGTTAGCCTAGTTGCTCCTACGTTATCTTCATTTTTTGATTTAAGTATACAGGGTGTCCAAAATATTTGTCTAAACCTGTCCATTTTAATTGAGATTTTCAAATACATATTATTTTTCTATCGAAAAGCTGAAAATGTCCTCTTCATCACAAGTAACTGAGACATGTCAAAAATATTTCAAGTATCGTAATGAAATTACATACTATGACAGTTTGTTGTATTACAAAGACAGGCTTGTAATTTCTTCATCTATGTACAGAGAATCTTTTAATCAAATTCATATTGGACATCAAGGCATAAATGGTTGCAAATCTAGAGCAAAACATACTGTATGGTGGCCGCTATCTGTGAACAAGGGGCTCTGATTATCCAAGAGCTTCCTTCAAAAGCAAGTTCGAAATCATTTAAGATCGGAATCACTGATACTTACTATGATAGATTATTTGGTGAAAATTTTTGGCCAGAAAATTTAATTGCTAGACCTTTTACGTTTAGGAAAAGGCAACAAAATCCTCAAACAAATTTTCATTTGCCCCAACCTCCCAACGAACGAAGGGAGCTTTAACATTTTATTATCAGAATGTTAGAGGAATAAGAACTAAGCTTGATCAGTTAATGTGTAATCTGCTTGTTGAAGATTTTGATGTTGTACTATTGACAGAAACATTTCTGGATTCTGATATTTTAACAAGTGAGATAGGTTTGGATGGTTATCAAGTCTATAGGTGTGACAGATCAACAAAAAAAAGCGCCTGTAAGACTCAGGGTGGAGTACTGATAGCAGTCAAAAGCTCTATGTCCTCAAAAATTTTGATGACACCTATTGAAAGTGTTGAGCATATTTTTGTGTCAGTCACCATTGAGAGCCAAAAAAGTCTTGTGGGAAATGCTTATATCCCAGGAACATCAACAGGTGATATTTATGAGAGCTTTTGTTTTTCTCTAATCCATCTACTTGAGAGTCAGAATTTTACCGATATTTTTATCTGGGGTGACTTTAATTTACCCAATATAACATGGGAAACAACAGTAGATGGATCTATGCCTGTTGGTCCCCTTTCCAAGCAAGTAATTACTGTGGGAGATTGTGTGGCTTATTTGGGCCTATACCAAGTGATAGATATTCCTAATGTTTTTGGAAATTACTTGGATCTCCTGTTTTGTAAAAGTTGTGATATTAAAGTATCTGTGTGCAATAATCCCTTACTCAAGCTGGACTTACCACACCCAGCGTTTGAATGCAATTTTTTATTGACCAAAGAGCCCCCAAACCTTTCTTGTGACAATTTTTATTTAAATTTTAAACGTGCTGATTTCAGCGAAATAAATTTTTATCTTTCCTGTACTAACTGGGATCCAATTTTTGAGTGCACAGATGTGAATACTGTGTGGTTTCTAAGTTTTATAATGCTTATACGACATCATTGAAATTTTTACACCCTTATCTAGATTCAAAACTCCAAAGTTTCCAAAGTGGATGCCTGATAACTTTAAAAAATTAATCATACAAAAAAGAATTGCTCACAAAAATTATAAATATACACACACACAAGAACACTATGATCAGTTTGCTACTTTAAGATCTGAATGCCATAATATTTCTCAAACATCATATAAAAACTATGTGAAAAATTTAGAAAATCAACTGCATGATAGGCAATCTTTTTGGAGCTTTGTGAAATCAAAAAAAGGCGGCACAGAATATCCAAAATGCATGACTTTTGATGGATGTGAATCTGACGATGCCCAAGAAATCACGGAGATGTTTGGATCTCATTTCTCTTCTGTGTACTCAAATTTTGATGGTCCAGTAACCGATTTGCTTTTGGATTATGACAAATGTGTTAATTTAAGTTGTTTAGAGTTTTCCACTATTGATGTTTTTAATAAGATTGAGAAAATGAAGAAAAATTTGGGAATGGGTCCTGATGGGATTCCCGCGTCTGTGATACAAAATTGTAAATATGTTTTATCGGTCATTTTATGTAAGATTTTTAATTTGTCCCTAAGTACAGGAGTTTTTCCAGATTTTTGGAAAAAATCCTTTGTTTCACCTATTTTTAAGGATGGTGACAGAGCTGATGTCAAAAACTACAGAGCTATTAGTAGGATCTCTTTAATTGCTAAACTATTTGAATCACTGGTTGCTGATAGTTTGTCTCCTCATCTCAATAGGATCATAATGAATGAACAGCACGGTTTTAGGAAGGGGAGATCCACTGTAACTAATCTCTTGACCTATGAGCAGGCTCTGTTGAGTGCCTTTGAGAATAAGTATCAGGTGGATGCTATCTATACTGACTTCTCGAAGGCATTTGACAGAGTGGATCACAGAATTTTGTTATCCAAGCTAAATGCTGTGGGACTTTCTGGCTCTCTTTTTAGGTGGTTCAAAAGCAACCTGAAAGACCGAAGACAGGCTGTTAAAATGAAAAATTTTACATCATCTTAAATTGTAGTGACATCAGGGGTACCTCAAGGGGGGCATTTGTCAACCATACTTTTTAATTTGTTTGGGAATAATGTTGAGTTGATTTTCAGGGACTGTGATTTTAGTGTGTGTAGATTGTGATAGATGAGCTGGACTGTCAATCTTTGCAAGAGCAACTTAACTTGTTTACCACATGGTGTTCAGTAAATAATCTTCAACTAAATGTCAAAAAATGTAACGTTATCACATTTAGCAGAATCAAAAACCCAATCACTTTTAATTACTCAATTAATAATTTAGAGTTGGAAAGAAATACCTTAGTTAAAGACCTCGGCGTATGGATAGAGAGTGATCTATCATTCAACACTCATATTGAAAAAACCACAAACAAAGCAATGAGGATGCTCGGGTTTCTCTTTCGAACTCTGAGTGAAATTGATAATATTTTTACTTTAAAGAAAGTCTTCTGTGCCTTAGTACGTTCACTGTTGGAGTATGCTAGTTCCGTTTTTGGCAGCCTTATTATAGTGTACACAGGCAGAGTTTGGAAAGGGTGCAGAGAAAATTTCTTAGGAGGGTTGGGCTTAAGATGGGTATTCCTTATGAAGATATTAACTGTGATGACTTAATGAAGCTTTTAAATCTTACTTCTCTTGAGAATAGAAGACAATTATTTGATGTCTGTACCCTTTTTAAGATTTTGCATGGCATAATAGATACCCCAGATCTTCTTGCAGAGATTGACTTTCATATTCCCTCTAGGACCTCTCGTCGGAAAGAGTTGTTTAGCCTTCCTTTTCATAGGACCAATTATGGCATTAATATGCTCATAGATAGGATGTGTAGGATTGCAAACTTAGTGTTACAAAAAAATGAAGACATTGATATTTTTGACTGTGATTATAAGACTTTCTGTCCATCTTGCTCCTGTCGTTTTTGTTATGTGTGTATTATATTAAAAAAAAAAATGGCCGAGGTATTGCCAGCTGATGAGATACCTCCTGATATTTATTTAAAATGTCATAGTAAACAAGTGAATTCTATTGTAATATGTATACTGTGTGATAATGCCTTTCATAAAAGTGATTTTAATAGGAAAAAAGGCGTTAAATATGTGTCGCCAACTTTAGTGATCTGCAATGAACACAAAGGTCTCGACCTAACCTCAACTAGCCTGGATAATCCTAGAGAAATGATTGCTAAATACAAGGAAGATTTATATAATATGAATAAGCAATATTCAAAGGTTAAAGCCCATTATAATAGTCTCAAAGAAAAATATGATGCAATGCTAGAAGTAAACCACACCAATAACTTACAAAGTAAACAAACAACTCTAGTCAATAAAAACGATGCATCTTTAACCCAGATTGATGAATTGCAAAGAGATAATAATGGTCTCAGGGTTTTAAATAGCGAACTTAAAAAAAAATTGTATATTTATTTTTATTTATTTATTTACGGGCAAGACCCATTAAAAAAAAACAACAAGAAACATTAAGTACCTTACAACTAAATAAACATAGGCCAGTAATACTTGGCGTAGTAACAGGATAAAAATACATATAAATTATTAACAGTAAAACATTAAATCAGTTATAGGTATAAGAAAATAGAGGACAAACATAAATAATGACTGATCAAGATGACTAGAAATTCTTAGCTATCGAACTTGGCATCACAAACAAACAAGGAGAATTACATTAGAGAGTTAAGCTCTCTTTTAAAGCTATTTATGGGTCCAAAAAAATCCAGGCTACCATGGGTGTTACCTAATCGAGAAGTTCTGGAGATGAATGTATTGAAACCATAGTTTGTACGGTGATTTCTTTCTGAGAAGGTTATGGCAGAGCGGGTGTCCCTTGCTGG